TGGATTCTACTGCCCTGAGATCATGACCTGCGTGGAAGCCTGCTGCTCAACCAACTGAGCCACCCAGGGGCCCCAGAGTAGCTTATTAGTTGGAATTTGATTACAATTTTGTTAGCTAAAAGTTTTTTCTGTTGCCTAAAAAAAAAAGTGTTATAAAAACATTAAAAGTGTGTTGGCGGGTGGTGCAGAATTTGTAAGTTCCTTGTTTCATGGTCTTTTCCCTTAGGACCTGGATCTGCTAAGGAGTTGATCAAGTCAATCAATGAAAAGTTTGCTGGGTCTGCTGGCTGGGAAGGCACTGAGTCATATCCTTTATTTCACTATGTTGCTGGATTCTAGAATAGTGTTATCCTGTTTTCTTTCTAATTCCACCCACCTCCCTGCTTCCCTGAACCCCCAGCCCCCACTTCACGCTTTGCTTTTTATGCTAAATTTTGACAGGGCTGCAGTCATGTCTTTCCCATTTCTCAGAGGACCCATTCAAGTCCTTAAAAGTTTTCATATTGGGGCTTCTAGTTCTTGGCCCTTCCTTTTTGAAGCTTTCTGTTATACGTAGAATTATTTTCTTTAACATAGCATATGCTGAAGAAGCCAGAGGACAAAAAGCAACTAGGAGACTTTTTTGGAATGTCCAACAGTTATGCCGAATGTTACCCAGCCACGTATGTAAGACTGTTAAAGGAGGCTGAAATGATTGGAGAACAAGTTATAGAGAGGGCGATGAAGTGTAAACTTGATTACCTGGGACACAGGGGTACTTCTTACTTAGATGAATTGTTCTTTTAGGTGCTGAGTGGGAGGTCTTGGGTTGGGGTAGGGGTCATTTTTAGGCATATAACATCTTAGCTGGGTAGGTTTCTGAATAAACCATAGGGGTCTGGGTCTGTACCATCTGTTTAATGTTTAACTGTTGCTTCTCTTTAGGATGGATGACATGGCTGTGGATAGTGATGAGGAGGTGGATTACAGCAAAATGGACCAGGTGTGGAGTTGGAAGGATGGGTAGGGATTCTTGGGCAGCTATTCTTCAGCACATACCCCCTTCCTGACTCCCAACAGATCTTTGTCTCATATTCTGGGCCATAACCTGCCCTCAGCTGACAGTAAGAGCAACAACATTGTGGAGTCATGGGAAGCTTACCTTTTTAAAAAGATTTTATTTATTTATTTATTCGTGAGAGACAGAGAGGCAGAGACACAGGCAGAGGGAGAAGCAGGCTCCATGTAGGAAGCCCGATGTGGGACTTGATCCTGGAACTCTGGGATCACGACCAGAGCCAAAGGCAGATGCTAAACCGCTGAGCCACCCAGGCATCCTGGAAGCTTACCTTTTAAAGTGTCAGTATGAAAGCAAGTGAGATAGGCCAAAAATAGATTTTTATTTTCTACAAAGTGCTGGGCTTTGATTTCCATACTTAGGGAGTAAGCAAGACTTTAGTGCATAAATAGAAAGGGTAGAAGGAATTTCAGTGTTTACAAAACAAGTGAATTTTATTCTAGCCAGGATTGAAGTGTTCTTAGTCTTAAAAATAACCTCACGGCACTTGGGTGGTTCAGAGAGTTAAGTGTAAGACTCCTGATCGCAGCTCAGGTCTTGATCACATGGTCATGAACTGAAGCCCCACATTGGGTTCCATGCTGGGTGTGGAGCCTACTTAACAAAAACAACCACAGCCCTGACAAATATCACCTTTAATGGTGAAGAAATTTCGTCTCCTTTTTCCTTGTTTCTCTTTATTGCAGTGCTTGAGCTTGGTTTAATTCCATGTTGGAGACTTGCTTACCCTGGTTCTGCCATTTATCAGTTTCATGACCTAGTTTCCTCATCAAGAGAATAGAGAGGAATATGGTTCTCTTTTAATAGAGTTTGAGAGAATTAAAAATGTGTTTGGTGTTCAGAATAATGTCTGTACTAGTAAGCATTTGTTATTATTTATTAGGGTGGGATTTATGAATAATGAAACAGGATTATGGGAGGACCTGGCTTTAAGTAAGGGCTAAAAAATTGTTTCCACTGACATTTCTTTCTTCCTTGTTCCCATTCTGTCTTCTAACAGGGTAATAAGAAAGGCCCCTTAGGCCGCTGGGACTTTGATACCCAGGAGGAATACAGCGAATATATGAACAACAAGGAGGCTTTGCCCAAGTGAGTCAGTACTAAATATGGCCAGGGAGTGATGAGAGGGATGATGAGGGGATGGACCAGCCTTAACCCGAGGGTGTAGTCTGGCTGAGGCATTCCTAAATAGGTTCTTTAGTCACAGGGCCATCTGGGAATACCTTGGTACTCCTGTGCAACCTCTGATGCCTTCTTTCCTCCAACTGTCCTTTATTTTTCTCAGGGCTGCATTCCAGTATGGCATCAAGATGTCTGAAGGGCGGAAAACCAGGCGCTTCAAGGAAACCAATGATAAGGCAGAGCTTGATCGCCAGTGGAAGAAGATTAGTGCGGTAAGTGAGATCACCTCTTGGGTGGACTTCATCTGGGAGGAGACACTGGCCTACAGATGAAGGAATAGGCAGGGTTGGAGAGCCAAGGAAGTAGGGGAGAGGTCAGCCTGGTACCTCATGTGAGCTTAGATGGACAGCATAACTGTTGAGTGTAACTGTTCTTTTTGTAGATCATTGAGAAGAGGAAGAAGATGGAGGCTGATGGGTGAGCAGCAGTACTCTTCTGGGGCACTGTGGGAATTGCTTAGAGTATTGATCTTACGTTGACTTACTTCTCCTTCCATTGCAGAGTTGAAGTGAAAAGACCAAAATACTAATCTCCAGTTCCAGGTCTAAAAATGATTCCCCAAAAGGAATGGGCTCACAAGTGCTTGCTTTCTGCAATTCCCAAAAAAGTTGCAAGGTCTCTTTGAATGTATATAAAATGTTACTGTATAATCATTTAGTTCCATTAAATCTAGTTAACCTGCTGTCATGTCTTCTCTGTTTGAGCATCCTCCCTCATGGACCCCTGAAGCAGCGAGAGGGTACTAATTCCACTGACTGTGTAAAATGCATGTGCAGAAAGTTAGCTCAGTCCTTTTCTGAGCTGTGATTCTAGATTCCTAGACAGTAAGGGTCCTAGCTAGGACGCCTAGTGGAGAAAAGTAATGACCTCATTGATGGGCAAGATGTAGATAGAGGAACATATGGACAATTGGCCTCAAATGTCAGACTCATTCAGGCCCATTAGAGGGCCTACCTTTAGTGGAGATTCTCTGGGAATTAGGGTCTACCCAGTGAGCTCCCAGTCTAACCCCAAGATTTTGCAGGACTAGGGTCTAGGTGAAGGCAGCTGATAAGAATTACTTGGGGAACAAAAATGGAATTATGTCCTCCTGAGAGCTTTAGAAATTCTTAGCACACATTGCTTGCTGCTTCTCTGACTAAAGGGATAATCTTGGGGAGGAGTCTTGGGGGATCCCTGTGTTAAGCAGGGTTTGGTGCTCATCAGCACCCTGAAATGTCTGCCAAAGCCCAAGATGGATCCCTTGGCTTCTGAATCATTCTGTCCCCAAGTTTCCTCCTTTCTATTCATCACAAGCACTTTGGCCTGGTTCTCATAAGGGTTTTTTTTCTGGCTGGATCCCTACCTGCCACTGCCTGCCCTAAGCCTAAGACTTGTAGGATCAGCTCATACGAGGAAAGCTAGAAGCCTCCCTTAACCTTTGCCTTTGGTCACTTTTAGCTTGATAGGGCAAGAGTGTTTGAGGAAGCCAGCTTTGTGCATGGCATTTAGGAGACTGAAATGGGGCTCTCTCTGCAATAGCACCTTGAATGCCTAATATGAGATAGTAAAGGACACCCTGGTTTCATGGTTGTAGACAGTGTTCCCAGTTAAGAAAAAGATCACAGAGACCTGGCTTAGATGAAGATACCTAGAGAGTCATTAAATTTAAGACCTGGGGGTTGGGGTGCGTGGCTGGCTCAGTCTGCAGAACATGACTGAATCCTGAGTTCAAGCTCTTCCACATTGGGCATAGAGGTTACTTAAACAACAACTAAAAACAACCTGGGGGTTGACTGTCCATTTAAAATCAGTTTCTGCAGGAGAGCCTCGCTGGCAGCAGAACATGGGACTCTCAATCTCAGGGTTGTAAGTTCAAGCCCCACACTGGGTGTTGATCTTACTTAAAAAAAAATAGTCAGTTTCTGCAAATATCACCAAGCCTGGTGGACATGCTCAAGGTCCTCTGGTTGGTCATATGATGAGTCACAAGGACCCCGAACTTCACATGGCAACTTTTCCATTCACACAGGACATACAGCTTCTCTGAGGTTCCTCGCCTCACTTTCTTCTCTCGTTAACTGGGTTGGGCATCAGCATATAAGATGTCTTAGAAGGCCTAGTAGCACAGTGATGTGAGGCTCCTCTTCAGTCCCAGAAGCTTGTGTCCTTACTTGCCCCACCACAGAGTGCTCCCATCTTTATGGAATCTTTGGTAACCAGAATGTTAACTTCGACAGTTATGCCCATTTTTCTCTTCAGAACTCCTTGCCAGCTCTGAGCACTGCTGGCCTGGCCCACTTGAGGGTATGCAGCCAAAGTGAAGAAACCGCCAGGGCACTGTTCCTGTTTCCCCAAAGATGTTGAGCACAGACCGCCCCAGTTTAAGCGCGTCCTTGGGCTGCCTGCTGTCCACGACCTCTGTAAATCACATTCTCGCTTTTGCGGCCTCTGGACTAAGCTGGAGGCTGCTCTTGGGTGTCACCAAGCCACGAAAGGCTGGGGTCCCCCTCTCCTCTGCTCAGGGCAGTAAATCATTCCTACTAGTCACAGGAGGGAGTACCACACTGTCAGCATCGATCAAGATGAGGGAAAAGGACTTAAACAGTAACCAAATTTAAGTGATGTGACCAGGGACAGCGCTGATAGTCGCGACGTCTACTTGGTCCAGGAAAGGGTCGGTCCGGGGATCCGCTCCACCCACACCTACTCGCCAGCCGGCCCCGCCCGTTCCCGGCCCAGCGCCACTTCCGGCTCCGCCCCCAGACGGAAGTGGCGTTTCGGGCCCTCCCCCAGTCCCGTGGGAGGATTTTGGGCCCACAGCTCAGGTGCGGAGCAGCGTGGCCTCCTCCGGCTTATGGACCACGGTCGTGCGTGTGAGGAGAGGCCAGCCGAGGATGGGAGCGACGAGGAGGACCCCGACTCCACGGAAGCCCCGGTCCGCATCCGAGAAACTCCGGAAGACATCGTGCTGGAAGCACCGGCCAGCGGGCTGGCGTTCCATCCGGCCCGCGACCTCCTGGCGGCGGGGGACGTGGACGGGGACGTGTTCGTGTAAGTGTGGGGCAGGGCTCGGGACTGCGGGATCTGGGAGCTCCATAGGGATGGAGGCGGAATGAGGAGAGAAAGGTGCAGAGAGACAAATCTTTCAAGACTCTTCTGGTCCAATTCGTTCAGTAACGTTTGGTTTTAAACCAGTTACCACACAATCTCTTGCAACAACTGAAAGGAAGACAAAATGGCTGGAGAGTCCTGACAAAGCCCAGAGACAGTACCAGGACAAGAAGCGTTCAGGACCGTTATTTTTCACCGGACTGTATAAAGCCTGAAACGGGTGGAACACGCCGCACCTCCTCCGCCAGCTTTGCTTCTTGCCTGCTTTAATCTTTCAAAAGCACAAATCCAACCACCTCTTTCTTAAAATTTTTTTTAAAGATTTTATTTATTCACGAGAGACCCAGAAAGAGAGGCAGAGACATAGGCCGCGAGAGAAACAGGTTCCTTTCCTCACCGGGAGTGTAATGTGGGACTCCATCCGAGAATCCCGGGATCAGGACCTGAGCCAAAGGCAGGAGCTCAACCACCGAGCCACCCACGTGCCCTCTTTCCTGATTAAAACCCTTCAATAGTTTACTTTTGTTTTAAGGGTCTTGGACGGCCAGTCCTCGCTCATTTTCCCCTTTAATTTCTGTGCTCATTCATTCTTACCTTTCATGTGGATCTTGAATCCACAGCTCTTTCGCAGGTTATTCTTTCTCTTGGAAAACCTTTTTCTCCTCACTTGTACCCACTGTCCTTCAGATCTCAATATCTATCTCTACACTCCATTCCCGACTAAATGAGATTACCCTTTAGACTTGGCTACTCTGGCACCAGGTAATTTTCCCTCCTAAATTTCATAATGGTTTGTAATCCTACATCCATTTGTGTAATTATCTGAATGCCTGTCCTCTGAACTAAAACATTTTTCAAATTTTTTTTTTACTTCACCCCACACCAGAAATACTTTATATATTATGTGTGATGCACCTTGATGTTTTCTGGCTTATTACATTTTTAACTGCAGGCACAAAGACCTAAATAAAATGCTAGTTGCCGCCCGCTAATAGGTCATGACTGGAGTTTGAAAAACACTTTTCTGTAATCTTAAGTCTGTTTTATTCTCCATTATGTCTGCTTCTAGACCAGGCTAAATACTCAATACATATTTGGCTTTGAACAAGAGAAGTAGGCTGGAAGCAGTGAAAAGTCATTGAAAGTTTTAACTAGAAGAGTTGTGCTGTCATATTTACCTAATGACATTAAACCTCAACCTCTTCAGTCTCCTTGGGCAATTTAACGTCCGTACTTTCTTCTTCAAAAACGGGAATAATAATACAGGCATACCTCTGAGATATTGCAGGTTTTGCCCAGACTATTGCAATAAAATCACGTGAATCTTTTGGTTTCCCCATGCATGTAAGTATACACTATACTGAAGTCTATTAAACGTGCACTAGCATTATGTCTAAAAAACAATATACATACCTTAATTGAAAAATACCTTATTGCTAAAAAATGCTAACCATCACGAGTGAGTCAATTACTAGTGACAGATTATCCTAATAAAAAAGTTTGAGGGGATCCCTGGGTGGATCCTGCCTTTGGCCCAGGGCACGATCCTGGAGTCCCGGGATCGAGTCCCACATCGGGCTCCCGGCATGGAGCCTGCTTCTCCCTCCTCCTGTGTCTCTGCCTCTCTATCATAAATAAATAAACCTTTAAAAAAAAAAGTTTGAAATATTGCAAGAATTACCAAAATGTGACAGACACGCAAAGTAAGCAGATGCTGTTGGAAAAATGGCACCAATAGACTTTCTCTAGACAGGGTTACTACAGACCTTGAGTTTGAAAAAAAAAAAAAATGCAGTGCTTGTGAGGCACAATAAAAGGAGGTCTGCCTATATTCATCTTGTAGAGTGGTCAAGTGTCTACTATGGCAAAAAAAAAAAAGAAAGAAAAAAAGTGTATACTATAGCACCTGAAGTCAACAAATGTGGGTTTCTCTCTACTATTTATACTTCATGCCAGACACTTGGGAGTCACTCTGGACCTCGACTTTTACACACATCACTATTACTGCAGTTTGTCTCCTCTCTCCCTAGCCATGCCCATTTGGTGGGTTTCTGACCTCTCCTGTGACCATTCTTAAGAGGTTCCTTTTCCCATAGGATTAAATTTATTTTTGCTTGGCCAATCAGGTCTCAAGTCCAGTTCAACCCATCTTTCCAGATTCAGCCATTTCACTCTCCTGCAGCTGGAACCCTCATTCCTTGTGTCTGCCCTAGAAGGGACATTGATATCTGCCTCCAGTATCTGCCAGGTGAACTACTTACTCTTCATGACCCAACTCACATCTTTACCTTAGCTTTCCAGGGCTCTTTTCTCATGCTAGACACTGGGACAGAGCAAACAAACGGACCCAGTTCTGCTCATCTGGTACTCCTCAGCAACTAAGCCCTTTTTATCTGGCCCCTTTGAAGATCTGCTCTGAGGCAGGCACTGGGGATACACTCTGGACAGGTAGTCGCCTCAAAACTGAACTTCCAGGCTGGTGCTTTTCTGTTCAACTCCATTTTGATTCTACCTCCTTTTCAGCATGTGGACACAGTGTGCTGTAATCCGTTCTAACTTTTTTTTAGCTCCTAGAGACCTGGAGTACAACAGCCACATCTTGTTAATTTTTATATTTCCAATTTCTGGGGCTGTTTTTTTGTTTTTTTTTTTTAACATTTTTGATTCTGTATTTGAGAGCCAGAGAGCACAAGGTAGGGGAGTAGCAAAGGGAGAGGGAGCAGACTGCCCAACCCCCCCCCCCCAACCAGAGAGTCCAATGAGGGCCTGGCTCCATTCCAGGACCCTGGAATCATCACCTGAGCTAAAGGCAGATGCTTAACCAACTGAGCCAACTAGGGGCCCCTGTTCTTCTTCTGTCTTTATCAAGTATCTCATGCCCTCCATAGTGGTCCAGATCTAGTATTTTCCCAGGCTGGGTGATGTGGGGTCAGTTCACAAAGAAGTCCTAAGCAAATGTACTTTGAATTAAAGACGGAACATGGGATCCCTGGGTGGCGCAGCGGTTTAGCACCTGCCTTTGGCCCAGGGCGCGATCCTGGAGACCCGGGATCGGATCCCACTTCGGGCTCCCGGTGCATGGAGCCTGCTTCTCCCTCTGCCTATGTCTCTGCCTCTCTCTCTCTCTCTCTCTCACTGTGTGCCTATCATAAATAAATAAAATTAAATTAAAGATTAAAAAAAAGACGGAACATTTGAAAATGGAAAATGGGGATGGCAAGTTCCTTAGGTTTGGTGGTGTACAAGCAGCAATTCCTAGTTAGGTGGATGGTTGCCTAGTTGGTCTTTATATTCCATGCTGGCAGGGTCTGGAGCCATTCACTCTCCTCCTCCTCCCCCCTAGCTTTTCCTACTCTTGCCAAGAGGGAGAAACGAAGGAGCTCTGGTCCTCAGGTCACCACCTCAAATCGTGCCGAGCCGTAGTCTTTTCTGAAGATGGACAGAGTGAGTATTAGGGAAGGCAGCCAGCAATCTGGTGACAAGGGAGCAGTGAGCAGCACCATGACCTGAGCACCTTTCCCACCAGAACTTGTTACTGTCTCCAAGGACAAAGCCATCCATGTACTAGATGTGGAGCAGGGCCGACTGGAAAGACGCATTTCCAAGGCTCACGGGTAAGGGGAGCTTACTGTGTGTTGAGGTCAAGGGTAAGGTGGTAGGTTCCTCCTGGGACAAAGATGCTTCAAGAAGCTCTGTGTCTCTAGTGCCCCCATCAACAGTCTGCTGCTGGTAGATGAGAATGTCCTGGTCACTGGGGATGACACAGGTGGTGTCCGGCTCTGGGACCAGCGGAAGGAGGGCCCCTTAATGGATATGCGGCAGCATGAGGAATATATTGCTGACATGGCTCTGGACCCATCCAAGAAGCTGCTGCTTACAGCCAGGTACAACCTCAAAGCTGCATCCCTTTCCCTTCCCTGTTAAAGCTCTCTCCTTCAACAGGAGCTTTAGTCAAGCCTGCTGCTCTGCTCTCTCTACAGTGGGGATGGCTGCCTTGGTGTCTTCAACATCAGGCGACGCCGGTTTGAACTGCTCTCAGAGCCTCAGTCTGGAGACCTGACCTCTGTCACTCTCATGAAAGTACAAGCTGGTTATGGGGTTTGGGGGATATGCTAGGGATCCATTTTGATGGGGCTCCACAAACAGTTTCCTTCTCTTCCTACAGTATGGGAAGAAGGTGGCCTGTGGCTCCAGTGAAGGTACCATCTACCTCTTCAACTGGAATGGCTTTGGGGCCACAAGTGATCGGTTTGCCCTAAGAGCTGAGTCTATTGACTGCATGGTTCCAGTTACAGAGAGCCTGCTGTGTACTGGTTCCACTGATGGAGTCATCAGGTGAGAGAAGCCAGGACCACCCTCAGATCACACCAGGGGCAGACCCAACCAGCCAAGACCAAACACTGTTTTCTCTCTGCCCAGGGCTGTCAATATCTTGCCGAACCGAGTGGTGGGCAGTGTGGGCCAGCATGCTGGGGAGCCTGTGGAGAAGCTGGCCCTCTCCCACTGCACCCACTTCCTGGCCAGCAGTGGCCATGACCAGCGCCTCAAGTTCTGGAACATGTCCCAGCTGCGGGCTGTGGTAGTAGATGACTACCGCCGGCGCAAGAAGAAGGGAGGGCCACTGCAAGCCCTAAGCAGCAAGGCTTGGAGCACTGAGGACTTCTTTGCAGGACTGAGGGAAGAGGGAGAGGAATCCACAGCTAAGAAGGAAGAGGAGGAGAGTGAGGATGACAGTGATTGAGGAAAGAAGCTGACTCTCAAAATAGGACCTCACTGGGCAAGTCTTACATCCTGGGCTGGATACCTAGAGAGGCTCTGAATTTAAAATACTCTGCAGTGCACAAAGATGCATAGCCAGAGGCTCAAGACTGAGGGCAGTGATGTGAGGAAGTACTTGCCCTGTGGCAGCTACTCCCTCTACCAGTGTAAGAGAAGCCCACAGCTGGGGCAAGATAGCACGGACACAGGCGTACACCAACCAGGGGTTTAATATAAATACAAACGGCAGAGAAAAACCCCAAAATCACACATACACTGTAACCAGACTGTTAAGTAGTGAAGACAAAAGGCAGAATTCTGACCCTCTGGCTCAGCCAGCCTCCAAATAAAATTAAAGATTGACAAATCAGGAAAACGAGATTGATGCTAAGCTATGGGAGGAGAGGAAGGGGTGTTTGCATGTGTATCACACAGAGAATGGCTACAGAATACCACAGGGTCACGTCAGACCCTGGGCTGGGAGGGGATAGCAAAGTCCCTCCCCATAACTTAGCCAAACCTGAGTTTTCCCAGGTGCCCTGGGGCCTTGCCCCAGCTGGGAGGCTGTGTCAGAGGTAGGGCAGGACCTGTGGTCTCCCTCGAGATCAGATGGTGGCTGCCCAGGCCTGCTGGGCTGGGGACTGACACAGGCTCTGCCCATGCGTTCAGGCTGCCTGTGAAGAAGACAGGGTCACTGCTTAACCACCATACCTGCCTCAGCCCCAGCAGACCGGAAGAGGCCGGCTCCAGACTCCCTCAGTGCCTCTAGCAGCCTTGCAGACACAGCATCCTTAGCCACTTCATGCCCTTCTTGCCCTTCTGGAGCCAGCACAACCCAGATGAGGCCGCTGAAGGGTACCGGGTGTCCTGGGATCACCACCTGGTACCAGAAGCGGTGCCAGCCTGCAGGGCCTGTGCCCAAACACTTGGTTAGGAACACCGGGCTACCCAGCTTCATTTGTTGGCACAACAGCTGCAGGGCAGCCCGGGCCCCTTGGGACTCCAGCTTGTCTCTGGAGGGGGCCAGTCGACTGCCCTCTGGCTGTAGGCCCTGCAGGGAGGGGCCCATGAACTGCTGGCGGAGTCGCTGCTTCAGGTCTGGCTTGAGCCATTCGACCGACACCTGCTCTCCACAGAGGCGTGACTGCCCTGCAGGAGAAAGACGAGGAGATCTAAGCCCTGGATCCAACCCTTTAGAACCTACATTGTCTGTTTAACTTCTAGCCTTCCCATTTCCTGGTGGTCCAACCTGGAGTTCAACTTCTCCAGGCTTCCCGTGTTTCTTTGAAAAGAAACTGCTGCCTTCTAAGTTTCCTTGTTGGGAGTACTGGCTGATGGAGGCTTTGTCTACCTCATGACCATCACAATAGCTAACCTTTACCTTGACTACCTTTACTGTGAATACTAGCTAAGAATCAGGGAATGTGTTAAGTGCCACCTAATTCTCACAACAGCCTTAGGGAGGCAGTTTTTAGTGGATAAAAGGTAGACTCAGTAAGACTGCCTAGGGCAAATCAATTTCTCTCAAAACCCTCTCTTCATAACTAAAGAGGGAGATCATCCTGTGTAACATTGGAATGTTGGAGAATAAGTTGCTAGATAATGCATGGGAAGCGTCAACATGTGTGGTACTGGGTAGCACCTACGGAAATTAAAAATGTATGACGTCTAAAACTCAGGCGTTCTTAACCCTAAGATCCTGCTTTACCTTCTATGCTGACAGGTAAAGTATGGCATCATAATGTTTGGCCGCAGCCCCGCCCCCTTACCTTCCACCAGGGCTTTTTTGGCCATGGCGGCGGCGCGGTGCGAGCTGAACTTGAGCAGCGCAATTTGCGCGGGCGCCGGCCCAGGGCTGGGCATCAGCAGCGCCTCCTGCAGGCCGGGGCCCAGGGGCTGCAGCGCGAGCAGCAGCGCGCGGCGGCTCAGGCCGGGAGGCAGCCCGTCCACGCTCAGCTCGCACTTCTCCGTGCTGCGGCACACGAGCAGCGGGCAGGACGGCCGCAGCGGGTGGTTGTGCAGCGTAGCGATGGCTGCCTGGGCGCCGCGCCGCGAACTGTAGCGGGCGTAGGCGAAGCCGCGGTTCAGGCCGCTGAAGGTCATCATCAGGCGGAACTCGTAGAGGCGGCCCACGCGCTGGAACAGTGGGATCAGCTGGTGCTCGTACACGTCCTGCGGCAGCCGCCCGATAAACACCTCCGACCCGGCCGGCGGCGGGCTGCCCACCCAGCCTGGGGGAAGGGGCGGAAAGGGGCACCGTCATCCTCCCGGAGGGCTCCGGGTTCGGGCCCGGGAACCCAGCGCCGAGGGCCTATGAGCAAACGTCTATGAAATGGGTGCAGCAGTCGCACCCCGAGTCGCCAGCATAACTGGGTGCCTGAGCCCACTACAGCGCTGGCCGAGTGGGTGCACCGTGAGGCTGGCTCCCACCCTTGAGGGGGCAGGTGGGCGGAGAGCCACAGACAAGTTTCCTCAGCTGCTTGACCCGAGGGGGGGCGACGGATAGGTAAGGGATTTCCGACTGCAGAGCGCTGGGGCGGGCCCCTCCCCTAGCGGTGCTGGTCGGGGCCGTCGAGGCTGGTGGAGCCCGACGGGCGTAGAGCTGGGACTACCGTACCTGGGGGTGGCCCGCCATACTTCCTCTGCCCGTTCACCTGCACCAGGCGGATGCCCGTCTCCCTGACCCACGCCTCCAACGCCGCCTTGTTCTCAGGATTCACCCTCTCACACCATAGCTGAAGGGGAAACGGCAGGCAGGAATGGCGGATCTCCACGCCCGTCCCCACCGCGACTGGGCAACTGCAGCCCAAGAGGCCACTACCCCCTGCGCAGCTAGCGCTTGTTGAGTCCCCTTGTCAGCCACTTACCTCACACTCCCGCTTGGACTGCATGACTCTCACGGCTGCCCGTCGGCACCCCCTTTATAACCTCCTCCCCAAAGGCCTCTGGAAGCTTCCCTACCCCTCCTCCCCCTAAGCTCTCATTGGCTCTGAGCACGACCCCGCCCTCCAAGGGGGTGGGGGTACCCACTGCACGTGCGCCTCGGGAACCTGACTTTCAGGTGAAAGCTAGAAACCTAAACCGGTGAGTGTGCGACCAGCCCCAACTCCTAGGGCTTGGATGTGCGCTGGAGGCAAGAGCCTCAAGGGCACCCTTCACCTAGGGGAAGAGCCCGTGGGGCCTACTGTAGAGCCTCCCCCCCATCCCCCGTTTCCGCCGCTCAAGTAGTTGGAATAGGAGGCCCAGGCTCCCACAGAGAAGGCAGGGCTAGGCCATAGTGACACACAAGCTCCAGTGGTTGAGTCATTTTATTGGACCTTTAAGGGTTGGTTGTGGGTAGCATTCCCTCCATTTGGTCAGGGTTCTGCATAGGGGTCCTGCAGGGGAGACCAACTTAGGCTCCATCCCTGGAGCACAGAATCAGCCCCCAGGATGTCCTATGGAAAAATGGTGTAATACCTGGCGATTTTTGCCCGTGATTACCAATAAAGTATTCATAATAAAAAATCTCCGTTCTGACTACTGTGGAGGTCTTCCTGCTGGAAAAGAAGTGTGCAAAGCTGTTGGAAGTACATATGCAGAGTCTTGTTTTAGCCACAAATAGTGCCAGTCCCACTTTCCCCTGATAGTTTGCTCAACTCAGCAGATGCAAAGGGGCTGGCTTGTTCTCCTTTTGATTTCTTCCACAAGGTCTTCTCTTGGGACGTCCACCTGGCCAGGATGGATAAAGAAGATGGTATGAGCATCTCTGACTCCACAGCTCCCAAGTGCCCATTCCTTCCTCTAGTCACCAGGCTTGGCTCAGCTGGGAGCAGGAATGCAGGCAAAGGAGTCAGAGACAAAGTATGGTTGCAGATGGGACTCCTACCCTACTGTGACAATAGTAACAAGTTAATAACCCTTTAGTCTTTTCCGAGTGAGTACTAACATGAGTTCCAGACTTTTGCTTGGGTCTTGAATGAGCACGGCCTGCCCAAATGGCATACATTCCCCTTCCCTCAGCCTTTCTAGCCACCTACCTACCTCTTCCCTGCTGGCCACTGATCGGAGCTTGATGACCCCATCCTTGAGCTCCTGCTCACCAATGATGGCCACCAGTGGGATGCCTGCCTCCTCACAGTATTGCAACTGGTTCAGCAACTTAGGGTTCTTCTTATAGAGCAGCTCTGCCTGCAGGGAACCAGGGCAGAAGATGAAGGCTGGCTTCTACTGTCCTCAGGGACAACTTCCTTGGGGCCCACGTGCTCTTAGCTCTCCTCCACGAAGCTGCTATGGATGAGCTTTTATTTAGGCTGTGCCCAGCACTCCCAAGTTCACTGCCACCCTGGAGCTGGCCTCCTCTACCTTGATCCCAGCATTCCAGAGCTCTGAGACAAGCTTTAGTCTCTCCTCCAGCAGCTTTTTCTGTGCAGATGCCACAAGCACTTGTGTCTCTGTGGTCCGTACTTTCTCCTCCGTAGCCTGGGGAAGGGTCAAATAAGAGTCAGAGCTGGGCTACCTTCAAGCAGCCAAGCGAGCAGGCTGTTGTCAGGATTCTAACCTATCAACTGCGCATAAGGTAGCTCCTAGAAGGTGTAAGAAACGAACTCCCTGGCTTGTAGGTATAGCTTACCAGAAAGGATAACAAAGGGCAAGAGCCAAGGTAGTTTATGTACATAACTTCAAACTTGTCTCCTTCTAGTACCTTAAGGGCCCATGAGAATATTCACATAGAAATGATACTGTGAACTCACCTGGTCCCCATATACTATCAGCCCAGTCAAGGGACTGTGCCTCTTATACTTCAGTCATAGGGCCCAACCCAGGGTATGGGTGGATAGGGGTAAAGAGAGAATGCCGCTGCTGCTGCCCATTGTCTTTTTCTTGTAAACTATTTTCATAGTTCTTAACAACATACAATGCCTACTGGAACACTGACCTCAATTGGGAAACATGGTTTCCACTCCAGAGAAAAGGATGGGAGCGCTGGGAAGATTACTGCCAGAGCATTCCCCAGGGGATGAAATGCATCCAGCCAGTTAAAAGCAGCAGCAAAGGAGTGCTTGAGGTCATGAGGGCCTTCCCTCTAGAGGCTAGAGAGTCAAGATAGCCATCTGAAGAATCCGAAAGGCCTCAAACACATGCTTACCACTTAGAGGTGATATCAGAGGAGTTAGGAGCAAGACTCTGGAGTTAGACTGCCTGGATTTGCATTCTGACCCTGGTACTTAAAAGTTTCACAGCTGGGGCACCTGGGTGGCTCAGCCAGGTCATGATCCCAGGGTCCTGGGATCAAGCCCTGCATCGGGCTCCCTACTTGTCCTTCTTTTTCTGCCTCTCCCCCTACTTGTGCTCTGTCTCTCAAAATAATAAACAAACAAACAAGCAAATAAATAAAATCTCAAAAAAAGGTTTCACCACCTTGAGCAAATTATGACCTATAGTGCTTCAGTTCCCTTGGCTAGAAAATGCAGATAATAAAAGTAGCTACTCTCAGAGGGCTGTGCAAGAATTATAGTAGATAATGCATGAAAAGCACTAAGCACAGTGCCCAGCACACAGTAGTAAAATATTAAGCATTCTGTATTCTGAAGATTGATGTCTTTGGATATACCACCCCATGACTTCCGACAGTGCTGAGGGAAGTAGGGACCCAGAGGAAAGGATTCTGGGGAGAATGAAGGATCCAAGATCCATCAAGTTGGCCTACAATGGAGTAGAAGTCCATTAAACACAGCAACCATCTTTTCTCCATTTCTTTCCAAAGATGCTCCTTGCCCAAAACAGTACCATTCGCCCCCTTGAAGAACAAAGAAAACAGCTCATATGCCAGCAGCTGCCTGCCCCCAGGACTTACCTCTAGCCTCTGTTCCACAATGGAAAAGATCCGCTCCACCCCAATGCTGAGCCCCACGCATGGCACCTTGCGTCCTTTAGGGTCGAACATGCCCACCAGCCCATCATAGCGTCCTCCAGCAGCCACACTGCCCACACCCAGGGGCTCTTCCCCTGCCTGCACTGGGGTTTGTAGCAGCACTGCCTCATAGATCACCCCAGTATAGTAGTCTAGCCCTCGAGCGAGGCTTAGGTCGAAGGAGATCTATGGGGACAAGATCATAGTCAGTACCAGATAAGGATCAAGGATCTGAAACCTCAGACCTCAGCTAAAGTGTCCACTCCCAACCTGACTCACCTTGTCAGCAATGCCAAACAGGGTCAAGTATTCAAACAGTAATTTTAGGTCTCCCAGGCCCTCCAAGGCCTGTTTGTTTTGGGACAGTTCAGGATCCTGGAGCAGCTGTTCCACTAGGGATATCCCACCTGGGGAGACATCATTTGTGAGCCAGACTGAGTGACAAAAGGAAAAAAGCAGAGGCTCTCTTTACCTTTTTCCCTGGACTACATGTATGTATGCATGCTTGCATACATGCGCGCACACACACACGCACGCACGCACACACACGCACGCACACACACACACACACACACACACACAGTGTTGGCCTAAGAGTTGAGGCCAGTGAGATGGCTGTTGGAGAGAGGCAGGATCTGTTTCTCACCATGCTGCTGGACGTAGTCCCCAATGTGGTCAGCCACCTCGGGTGCGAGGCCCTTCTCTTCCACCATCTCATTCTTTACTTCCTCCCAGGACACCTAGGCAGACAGATGCCAGTAAGGGACCCCTGGGAAGCTTCTCCACTGCAGGGCAAGTGTGGGCCCTCCTGAGGGGGCAGTTTGGGAGAAGTTCCTTTCAACCTATATTCTGGGGCCAATCTTCCTTTGGTGAGCACAGAGGCAGGCCCCTCCCTCTCTCCTGATCTTGTTTTACATTTCTCAGAGAAGGTGGGATGTACGAAAAGAGTGAAATGTTTAGGTCATTACCTTGTCCAACTTGTCCACTGAGGAGCAGATGGTACGGAACTTGCTATCAGGAACACCACAGATGGCAAACATCCCATCTAGGATGCGCCTATCATTTACCTGTAGGGACCCAAGGCATAGTGAGGAGGGAATCTCTTTATATGACTGTCAATGGTCTTGTCATTTTGCTATTGGTCTCTCTGCACAAGGATATTTTCCTATGACAGGCTAGGCCCAGCTTTGCCCTTCCAGACCCATTCAGCTCTGACCTTGACTAGGAAGTCGCCTATCTGAAGGGATCTCAGGATCTCACACATGATCTCCAGGCACTCTGCATCAGGGATCATGGGGTCAAATTGTCCGGCAATGTCAAAGTCCTGCAGGGAGATGGGGAGTTATAGTTCTCAGGGTTTTAACCTACTTAAGCAGGGGAAGGCCTGGGGTGGGGGTGGGGGGCTAGGGAGACGGGGGGGGGGGGGGGGGGGAATGGGCTGGTCCTGGGAGCTCTGTTCTCTCCCTATAAACACCTGTTTGCACTCATGCATACACCACCTTCTTCATTATCTGTCTGACCACCCACCCAGAGGAAACGCCCAGCATTCCTGGTTATCTTAACCAACCCAGGTTTCCTTTCTGTCTACATTGCTTCATTATCTCACTCATCTACTTTCCCTTATTTCCTCCTAGCACCACGGGGGCAAATATATGGCTTTAGTCCTTAGCCATTTTCTCTATTCAGAAGCTCTGCCACCACTCTGGATGATCTGATACTTCAAATCCAATTTCTCCATCCTTTGCTGTAATCCTATCACTGTGGTTTAATACAAAGCACTGGACTATGAGTTCACTTCTGACTTTGGCTTTCTTATCCTTATGATTTCTTCATCTTGCTGAGTCTCACATTTACTTGTATGTAAAATAGGGAGAATCATCCCTATCCTCTACATAAAAATTTTGAAGAAATGGAACAGCATGATTTGGTGAATCCAATTTGTTCAGAACACCATGAGTACTCAGTAGATTCTACTAAGTTGATGGAGGGCCATGTTCCCCGTCATGCCCCACATACTCACACACTGATAGAATTCCCGATACCGGCCTCGGGTCATGGCTGGGTTATCACGCCGATATACTTTGGCTATGTGGTAGCGTTTAATGTTGGTCAGTTTATTCATTGCCAAATATCGAGCAAAAGGAACCTGGTAACAGTTAAGGAGAAAGCCTCCTCCTCACACAGACTGGCAGTTGATTATCACCACCAACAGAAGCTGTGGTCTAACCTCTGTGTGTGTGTGTAAAACCACAACCTGTGAGATTAGGAGCATTTCTGAACATCAGGAAGAATCAACTTTGTGACCACAAGGGGCGGCAGAAGTCTCAAAAAAAGATTAAGGTTCCTTTCTTTTTGGTTAGTGTCTCTCCTGGGCTATGCTGAGCAAAGCCCGGAGCCAGGCAGATGGGTCAGAGAGCAGAAAAAGGTCTTCATGTAGGATTTCTGAGGAGATGATTCTCTAACATAGCTTGGAGATAAAGGAAGGAGAGCTCTGTCCACTGGACAGGGCAAGGAAGAGATATTCTGGAGCCAAGGGATTATTGAGTTGGAACTGGTTCCTAACATAAAGTTAAAGTCTCACTCAGGATTCAGAAGACTTTTAAGGCTACGTTCTGTTTAGCCAAAATCTCATTCCTAGTTTAAAGAAATAAGTTCCCTAATTGCCACAAGCATCATATTTAATCCCACCCATGTCTGGCTGTCCCCAAACCTAGACTAGAAAAAGCCGAGGCCAATAAGAACTAATTGATCCAAAGTACCAAGAACCCAAGTTAGAAAGATACAGTGAGGTCATAGCGAAGGGACAATAGCTCTCCACCCTGGTCCTTCAGATCATAGATAAGCTTAGAGTCTTCTCCATACTTTCCAGTCAGTGTTTCCTGGAGAAAATATAAAGAAATGTGATCACAATGATAAATATAACAATTTAAAAGGAAGTTGTTGGTTTTTTTTTTTTTTAGACTTTATTTATTTATTTGAGAGAGAGAGCGAGTGAACATGTGCACAAACAAGGGGAAGGAACAGAGGGAGAAGCAGGCTCCCCGCCAAGCAGGAAGCCCGATACAGGGTTGGATCCCAGGACCCTGGGATCTGAGCCAAAGGCAGATGCCTATCCAACTGAGCCACCCAGGCACCTAAAAGGAAGTTTTAAAACAAAAACACTATCCTAACATGCCTATTTCAACTTGTCTATATTTCTGCTGCTCTCTATCCTTTTTTTTTTTAATTTTTTTAAAATTTTTATTTATTTATGATAGTCACAGAGAGAGAGAGAGAGGCAGAGACACAGGCAGAGGGAGAAGCAGGCTCCATGCACCGGGAGCCCGACGTGGGATTCGATCCGGGGTCTCCAGGATCACGCCCTGGGCCAAAGGGAGGCGCTAAACCGCTGCGCCACCCAGGGATCCCTGCTGCTCTCTATCCTAATGCTTATGTATTAAGTGTTAATTATAATCAAAAGAAAATACCAATTTCCATTTGGGGACACAATGGAAGTATTATTTTTATTTATTTTTTTGGAAGTATTATTTTTAAAAGCTGCATCATACTTCAGTGAGAAGCAGCTCTGTATTTTCTTCCTTCCTGGTATTAACTGTTAACTAATTAGGTTTTTCCAAAACATTTATTTGTTTGTTTTAAGATTTTATTTATTTGTCAGAGAGAAGGAGAGAGCACGTGTGTGCACAAGCAGGGGGAACAGCAGGCAGAGGGAGAAACGGGGTCTCTGATGAGCAGGGAGCCTGATGTAGGGCTCTAACTGAGGACCTTGGGATCATGACCTGAACTGAAGGCAGACACTTATCCGAATGAGCCACCCAGGCACCCTGTTCTATAACATTTCAATAAATATATTTTGGTATATAGTTTTTTTCTTTGGAATATATATTTTTGAGGATTACCTCCTAAGAGTGGATTATTTGATCAACAAACTTTTATGATGCCTATAGTTTGAACAATGTCAAAAGGTAAAACTGACATAGCAGCTCTTGCCATGTGATATGTTCAATAAGGTGATAACATTATTTCACTTACCAGAAAGTTTAAAAAGCCTGGAAATTCCCAGTGTGTAGAATTAGAAACACTTATAATTGGTTGGTGTTATGGGCTGAATTGTGTCCCTTTTAAAATTCATATATTGTAATCCTATCCCCCAGTAACCTCAGAATGTGACTATATTTGGAGACAGGGTCTTGAAAAGGCATTTAAGCTAAAATGATGTCATTAGAGTAGGCCCTAATCCAACAGAAGTCTTTATAAAAAGAGGAAAATTGGACACAGACAGAAGGAAGATGATGTGAAGACACGGGGAAGACACCAACTACAGCCAAAGAGCAAGGCCTGAAACAGATCCTTCATGACCCTCTGAAAGAACCAGCCCTGCTGACACTTTGTCTTGGACTTCTAGTCTCCTGACACTACATTTGTTGTTTAAGCCACCCAGTCCCTGGTACTTTGTTATGGCAGCCCTAGCAAACTAATATGACCGGTAAACATAAATGAGTACAGTCTTTTGACCCAGCAATTTTCTATGAACTTACCCTGCAGATGAATGCCCACCAGCACCAGACATTGTTCTAAGCACTAAATATACATCAGTGAACAAAACAATAGTAGTCTATTCCCTCATGGATCTTTCAGTATGAGGGAGAACAGGCAGTCCACCAATGCAAGGAAACAAATTAACAGATAATTTCAGTTAGTGATAACTTCTCTAATGGAAATAAAACAGGTCGAAGTGATAAACAAGGGATACTTTGGACAAGACAGTTGGAGAGGACTATTTGAAGAATGGCATTTTAGTGGAGTCTGAAATTAAAATCCTTAATCTCTAATTTAATCTAAAATTCTCGGGGCAAGGGAGTTTAAGAAAAGGGAAGAGCAAGTACAAAGTCCCTGAGATAGAAACATTTAGAATGGTGCAGGAATAGAAAGAAGACCAGAATATGGGACACCTGGGTGATTCAGCAGTTGAGCATCTGCCTTTGGTTTGAGGCGTGATCCCAGAGGCCTGGGATCGAGTCCCACATTGGGCTCCCTGCATGGAGCCTGCTTTTCCCTCTGTCTGTGTCTCTGCCTCTCTGTATCTCTCATGAATAAATAAATAAAATCTTAAAAAAATTAAAATTAAAAAAAATCTTAAAAAGAACTAGAAACCATCCCAGGGTCCATCAACAGGAGACTGGTTACTTATTTATCCTTTATATGTATGGTTCATATATATCTAAAAACATCTCAAGTACATAACAAGAAGGGCTCTCTCGTGGAAGCCACCAGCCGTGATCATGGTGAATAAAAACCAGGCCTGTCTTCCTGCTCATTGGAAAAAATTCTGGTCTTTGTCGGTAACAGGGGAGACACCTCTCACTCTCTTGTCATCTTCTTTGTTGTTTGTATATCCACTCTCCCACCATGCAATTTCCCCTCAGTCATCCCTCACCTTTAGTTCGAACACAGGTGTATCAATTACTTCTGCACCATGACGCTTGAAGCAGCTGATGATTACATCAAACACCTTCTCTCGAACGGCCATCTGCCGGGGACTGTAGTCTCTTGTACCCTTGGAGTCCAAATCAGCCAAAGCACCAGGGATGAGATTTAAAAACAAACAGGGAACATTAAGGTCTAGAAATATAAAAGCATGACCTCGAAGATGACAAATGCAAATACTGCCCCAAACTCAGATTTTGGGCTACAGATTTGTAAAGCCAGCATGAACAATTCCCTAGTAATTATCACACCCATTTGCATTCACCCTTCTAAATTCCATCCCCTTTTTAGCTTGGTTCTATTTTCTAGAATTCTTAGAATGCTGTTTTCTTTCTTTCTTTCTTTCTTTCTTTCTTTCTTTCTTTCTTTCTTTCTTTCTCTTTCTCTCTTTCTCTCTCTCTCTCTCTTTCTAGAACAGTATCTTCTGAGAAGTTTTTCGAAAAACTTTTTCTGTGATACCAGAACATTTCCCTGCCTAACAGAAAATACCTACCTGATGACAGGTATATAACTGACTCAAACTGGCTTAGCTAGTTGAATTACAAATTTTATAAGTAACATTTCCCCCAGCACAACTTAAAAAAAATTCTAATAAATACTATTCATTCTCTAATTTGTTTCTTTCTTTTTTTTTTTAAAGATTTTATTTACTTATTCATGAGAGACAGAGAGCGAGAGCGAGAGAGAGAGAGAGAGAGAGAGAGAGAGAGAGAGAGAAGCAGGCTTCTTGCAGGGAGCTCGATGTGGGACTCGATCCTGGGACTCCAGGATCACGCCGTGGGCCGAAGGCAGGTGCTAAACCACTGAGCCACCCGGGGATCCCCTCTAATTTGTTTCTAATAGTTCTATGACAGAGGCTGGGCAGATACCTTTTATGGATGAATTACAGGATATAGAGAGGTTAAGTCATTACCTAAGGCCACTCAGCAGGTTCTTCCAGATCAGAGTGTCTGGTCTGGGTGTTTACACCCTACTATCAAGTCTTTGGTCTCAGGACCTCTTTAAAACCTTACTACTTATTAAGGACCCCAAAGTGGATTATACCTGTCAATGTTTATTGTATTAGAAATTAAAACTGTGAACATTTAAGAATATTTATTAATTCACTTAACAAATAGTAAATCCATGCACGTTAACATAAATAACATTTTAGGAAAATGTTATTTCCCAAAACAAAAAAAAAATTGGTGAGAAGGGTGGTGCTGATTTACATTTTTGCAAATCTTTAATGTCTGGCCTGAAAGAAGACAACTGGATTCTTATACATGCCTTGTGTATTCAGTAGTTTGTGAGATGTTGTTCTAGTTAAATAAAGTTGAAAAAAGAAAATCTAGCCTTACAAAGGTGTGTAATTGTAAAAGAAGGAATATATTGTTTTTATTTATTTTTTATTGGAGTTCAATTTGCCAACATATAGCATAACACCCAGTGCTCATCCCATCAAGTGCCTTCTTCAGTGCCCGTCACCCAGTCACCCCCACCCCCCACCCACCTCCCTTTCTACCACCCCTTGTTCGTTTCAGGAATATTTTTTTTTAAATATTTTATTTATTTATTCATGAGAGACACAGAGAGGCAGAGACATAGGCAGAGGGAGAAGCAGGCTCCATGCCGGGAGCCCGACGTGGGATTCGATCCCGGGTCTCCAGGATCGCGCCCCGGGCCAAAGGCAGGCGCCAAACCGCTGCGCCACGCAGGGATCCCAAGAAGGAATATTTTAATAAACTTTTCAGCTAACTGTAGATATTCTTCTTTAATGACACCCAAATCCAACAAATGGTAGTTTTTTAATGATTGGTTGCAATGTGGAATCTGAAAACTTTTCACATTGTTATATTAAAATCTCTTACTTATATATGGTACCCAGAATTCACAGAAACAGAAAGTAGAACAGTAGTTCCCTGGGGGCTGGAGGGAGGGAGGGTAGAGGGGAGACTTCTTTTTCTTTTTTTTTAAGATTTTATTTATTTATTCATGAGAAAGAGAGAGAGAAAGGCAGAGCCACAGGCAGAGGGAGAAGCAGGCTCCATGTACGGAGCCTGATGTAGGACTTGATCCCTGGTCTCCAGGATCACACCCTGGGCTGTAGGCGGCGCTAAACCGCTGGGCCACGGAGCGGGGTGGTGGTGGGGGGTGGTGGGGGGATGGAGAGTGGGGGGGTGCAGGGGTGCTGCCCGGGACTTATTCTTAATAGGTACAGAATGTCAGTTTGGTATGATAAAAAAGTTCTGGGGATGAGCTGGGGTGATGGTTGAACAACAATGTAAACCACTTAATGCCACCAAACTGTATACTTAAAAATAGTTTAAAAAGGGGACACCTCTCAGTGGTTGAGCATTTGTCTTTGGCTCAGGTCGTGATACTGGGGTCCTGGGATTGAGTCCCACGTCGGGCTCCCCACAGGGAGCCTGCTTCTCCCTCTGTGTATCTCTCTCTCTCTCTATGTCTTTATGAATAAATAAGTAAAATCTTTTAAAAGCAGGGGGCACCTGGGTGGCTCAGGCTGTTAAGCATCTGCCTAAGGCCCAGGTTATGATCCCAGGGTCCTAGGACTGAGCTCCACATCGGGCTCCCTGCTCATCCAACCTTACCCTGCCATACTCTCTTGCACATGCTGTTGTCTCTCTGGCAAATAAATGAAATCTACTTAAAAATGGTTAAAATGGCAAATTTTTTGTTACATATATTTTACCATAATTTAAAAAACATCTATTACTCCATCTTGGACTTTGAATGAATCTTTTACCCATGCATGATTTTATAACATTATACATTGGTCATGTGAAAAATAATGGTTCATTGATAAATTATACAGATCTTCCAAATATTACACACTTCATTATATCAGAAGACACACTTGTTAATATCAACACAGATATTGCCAGGAAAGTCTAACTACTATACTGGGGAGCTGTGTAGCTCATGATGAAAGGATACAAGTTTCCTGAAATCCCTACTTTCACCTGAATGCTTGAGTGTTATCATTGGTAACAAATATTGTCAGAAGTTTTCCTTGAGGTGACAAAGCTCACTTCATTCATCTTCCTCAAGATGTCTCTCAAATACCAAATCTTTTTTTTTAATTTTTATTTATTTATGATAGTCACACAGAGAGAGAGAGAGAGGCAGAGACACAGGCAGAGGGAGAAGCAGGCTCCATGCACCGGGAGCCCGACGTGGGATTCAATCCTGGGTCTCCAGGATCGCGCCCTGGGCCAAAGGCAGGCGCTAAACCGCTGTGCCACCCAGGGATCCCTCAAATACCAAATCTTTAAAGCAACATTTGTCTTTCAGTTTTTCTTTCAAATAAAAAAAAGATGTTGTGTGAAGAAAGTAGCTAGTTAGCTTAAACTCATGCAAGGGCCCAAGAGTTTTTCCTACTTTGGAATGCAGCAGGAGTGCTTTATGTATACTTCCAATTTCATTACATGGAATACTAAAAAAGAATGTAGTCAAAGGTTGACCTTCAATAAAATGAATAATTTTTTTTTATCGAGGAAATTCCTAAGTAAAACTTACACACACACATACACACGTATTTTTTTTTTTTTTTTGCAAATGCATGGAAGAACATGATGGCTATTATTAGTACAATGTAGTGCCACTGTCATGTTTCATGCTAAGACATCAGCAGTTCTACTTTTCAGTGCTTTTGAATCTTCATAGCAAGTGTGGTCACAAAGGCAAGTAATGTTTCAGTATTATAAAAATAATTCTGACTATAAAACCTTTTGAGAGTTCTGTCCCCACGATACTGAGTTTTCTGTTAATATAAATCACACATCAAAAATGTGTTTCAACAAACTAAAGTGGATATTAATTCTCCAGTATAATCTTTCTTTTAAAATAGTATAGAGGGACACCTACGTGGCTTAGCGGTTACACGCCTGCCTTTAGCTCAGGTTATGATCCTGGGATCTGGGATTGAGTCCCACATTGGACCCCCTGCAAGGAGCCTGCTTCTCCCTCTGCCTATGTCTCTGCCTCTCTCTCTCAGTCTTTGCTGCTCATGAATAAATAAATCTTTAAAAAATAAATAAAATAGTATAGAAATTTTCAAACACACAATATAGGGAATAGTATCACAGACCACCATGCATCTATTACCCAGCTTCAATAACCATCAGCATCTGTTATTTTTATTTTATCTAAGCCCAACATCTTTTTTCTGGAGTATTTTAAAGTAAATCCAGACACCATATCAGTTTGTCCATAAATATTTCAGTATGATTTTCTAATGCACAAGGTTTAAAAAAAGCCAAAGCACTATAATACCTTTATTACAACAAAACAAACAGCCACCCATTCATATTACCTAATACCCAAGCCATGTTTAAATTTCCCCAATTGCCTCAAGAATAAAGAAAAAAAAAATGAGTGGGAAATATCAGAAAGAGAGACAGAACATGAGAGATTCCTAACTCTGGGAAACGAACTAGGGGGGGTGGAAGGGGAGGTGGGCGGGGGGTGGGAGTGACTGGGTGACGGGCACTGAGGGGGGCACTTGATGGGATGAGCATTGGGTGTTATTCTATATGTTGGCAAATTGAACACCAATAAAAAATAAATTTATATATATATAAAAAATATTTTTTTATGGTTGGCTCACTTGAATTAGATTCTAAATGAAGCCCATTCACTGTATTTGTCTCTTTATCTATTTAATCCACGACAGGTTCCTTTCCTTTTTTTTTTTTAAGTGCCATTTATTTGTTGAGGAAATTGAATTATTTGTCTTAAAGAACTTTTCATATTCTAGATTTCATTAACAATATATCCAATGTGTCACTTAATACATTCCGCCATCTCCCATATTTTTGGTAAACTGATGGTTAGGTCAAAAGGCCTGATTAGATTCAGGTTCAATTTTTCTTGGCAGGAAAAGTTCATAGGTGGTGCTGTGTACTTCTTATTGCATCACATAAGGTGAAACATAATGTCTGGTTGCCCTACTTTTAATGATGTTAAGATTGATTGTTGGGTTTAAGTGAGGCCAGCCTGATCTATCATAAATTCCCCATTAATCTTATCACTAGATAGTTTGAAAAAACTCTGGATACCACTGTTTTGTCATTTTATTGTCTCTTTAACCTCCAAAATTAGTTGTGTGTAGAAGGGAATAGCCCAATGAATTTAGGAGCCCAAAGAATGAACCTAAAAAGGCGACACCTCAATGCATGGAAGACTCCTCTTCTTTAGAATCCAATTTCACGATACATTTATTGAATATTTATTCAGTTCCAGATACCTACTCTCAGCCTCTCAGGGTAAATAAACCATGTGAATAAATAAAAGTCACCAAGAAATAATAATAGAGATATATATGAGGTGCCTAGGGAACCCAGATGAAACAGTAAATAGTTCTGTTTATAGAGTTTACAAAGAATGATATCTAAACTAAAATCCTGGAGGCTGGGCTAGTAATCTCCAACCTCATTCCACTCCACTCCACTCTACTCTCCCTCTGTATTTGGTTCTACTCATACAGGTCTTTTTCTAGTTCCTGGAAACTATAAGCATTCTTCTCTCCTTCAGGATTTCCATACTCTACCTGAACCTCTCTTCCTTACACTCCTCCCCTGGCTACTTCCCATTCATCCTAAGTCAGTTAGGTCAGTTAGTACATTACTTCTTCATCGAGGCTTTTTCAGACTCTCTAGTTCTTTCCTGTTTATCTCAGAATTCTTGTTATTTCTTTATTTTTTTATTTTTAAAGATTTTTATTTATTTATTCATGAGAGACACACAGAGAGAGGCAGAGACACAGGCAGAGGGGGAAGCAGGTTCCTCTCAGGGAGCTGGATGGGGGACTCCATCCTGGTACCCTGGGATCACACCCTGAGCCTAAGGCAGATGTTCAATTACCGAGCCACTCAGGCATCTCTTGTTATTTCTTTATATAATTTATCACAATTTATAATCACATATTCAAGAGTGGGATTATTTGTCCTAAGTCCATTTCGTTCAGTAGAATGTAAGCTCCATGAGGGCAGGCTGTATTGTTCACCATGGTATACTCACTGATTCCTACAGTGCTAGGCATATAGTAAGCACTCAAAAAATATTTACTGAATGAAAGAAAGAATAGGTGTAGCTGGCATACTACTAAGCACCCAGCTTGTCTAGTTTCTGCCATCACTTTGCTATCCCAGAACGACTCGGACTCCAATTCAGCCCAGCACCCAGAACAACTGTTCAGGGAAGCAGGGGCATCCACGTTTGGGAGTGGAATTAGGGGCCTTCGCAGAGGCTCCTTAACGGATTTGTATTTACCTTGGGGGTTTTGAGCACAAACTTCTGTTTCCCTTCATCAGGGCCCAGCTGCGCCTTCAATTTCAGTAGTTTTGCTACCTCCTCCTCGATCTGTGGAAGTAAAATAAGTGCTGGGCGATCACGTCTGCCACTCCCTTCCCTCCTCCGCCATTCATTCAGTATCCCTCCCTCATCAGAATCTGGACAGAGCTCTCCCATCAGTTGTGCTTCTGTCGGGTCCTACCCGGGACACCTCCCCATCCTGGCCCTGCTCCTTCCTATACGCCGGGTCCCTTTTCCTACATCTCTTTCCTCTATGCAGACCACCTAGTTCCATGTCCCCCCTGGTCCTACTTTGGCCTCTCCCAGCCACCTGGGTCGCACCTGCTCAGCGCTGGCCTTCTGCTGCTTGAGGCCCCGCACGCGCTCTCCCTGAAGTCGCACTAGCTCCTCCAGTGCTGCACGTTCTGCCATATTGCGGCCAACTGGCGCTGAGGGCTGTCTAGACCGGCTGTGGTTGCCGCAGCCTCAGATCGGATAACTTCCGGCTATCGAGTCACTGGACCGCACGCCTAGAGGGCCCCCGTCGAACCACTTCCGGCTGCTCCCGGAAGTGCCGAAGCTGAGACGGTGCCTGAAAGGTTCGGAGCCAGCCTTCAGGCTTTGGAAGGTGAGAAGTGATCTTTTCGCTGGTGCTACGGCTAACCTCTACAGCGCTCTGCACACTTACTGCGGTGGGGTCCGACCTGCTTCGTCCCCAGGTCTTTTGGCTCTTGTCTCGGAAAGGCGGCTTCCTGTTACATGATGCCCCCGTTTGGACTCCTGCACAGGAGGGCCTGGGCTTCACTGTTTGGCCAGCTCCTGCGGCCGTCCGGTCTTGTGTGCATCGGGGAGGTCCATTTTCATAGCCAGGTGAGCCAGACTGAGTGGTCTGTCGGGGCAGGATATTCAGGTCTGAAAGTATGGATTCTCGGCCTGCGTTCCAGTAGTACAGTTGGTTTTTGTTTTTGAGTGGTTTGCTGGTACTGAGCCAAGTATTTTAGATACTTCCATTTAATCCTCATAGCAATTTTGAGAGGTTGGGATTATTTCCATTTTACGGTTGAGGAAACAGTCTGCAAGGTTAAATGACTTATCTACAAATATATAGTAAAGGGAGCATTTTTAATACAGGCCCACAATCCCTTATGTGAACCTCTTGGGGGTCAAACACATTCTTAAGCAAAGTATATGAATATCCCCATTAAGTGAAATGACAGGAGACCATAAGTAGACTGAATTCACATTAGAATTTATCTCAAAGTGAACTCCGCGCCCCCCCCCAAAAAAAAGAAACCCCAAAACAAACCACTTTCTGGTTTTTAAAGATTTTTGGATTTTGGAATTGCATATGGACTTAAACTGCCATCCTTTGGAAGAGAGAATTGCCAAAATATGGAACTACCACACTGTCTATGTTTGTGAAAGGGCGTACAGACTGCTGCTAATAAATAAAATTATCGATTCAGTTTTACTTTAGGAAAGACCCTAGCAGATGCTTTGTGCTATCATGAACAACAGGGCTCAGGTCTTTTGTTATTAATTTTCAGTCACAGCATCTTACCAGTCTGATTTTTTAGTTCGATTTATTTAGTTCGATCGATTCTTGTTCATTCCATAGGCATATTGTATGTTTTGGGCTGGTTCTCCTGTCTTCGGGTTACTTTTTCCATGTCTCTAAGCCTAATGAACATTGATTGTTACCTTATTAAAAATTCATTTATTGCTCTTTGAGTAGGAACTAAGAATTGGAGATCATACTAATCCCTATTCCTAGATGGTTGGTGGCAGTAATGGTGGGTTGTCCTGTGCCTTCATTGTTCTCAGGTGCTTTTCCAGACATTAAAAACTCTGAATACGATAAAGGCCTGACCTTATGTGTATTACATTATATAGTGCAAATACAGTGTATGTTTTGGAAGGAGGCTGAGATTGAAATAGATAAAACAGTAGTCAGGCTGTGTGTTGCTCAGGGCCAGATGTCTTTGCAGGTCACCTGCAAAGGTGTCTGTCCTAGGCCTGACCAGTCTTGTGGCTCACATCTCACATTCCTTTTCCTGCTAGGTTTCAGAGGCTGTGTTAATATCCCAACTGAAACCACATCAAGAAAAATCAAATTTTGTTATCAAGACCCCAAAGGTAACACCTTTTGCCTCACCGTATTCTATTAGATGCCTTGAGGATTGCCTTCTGCTCTGCTTGTCTTTTCCTAACCCCTTTTAATGTCTTTTTAGAGTAATTTCATTATGCTTGAGGTACTGATTGGGCTCAGTCATCTGAACTCAAAGGGATTTTCACTTCAGATTTTCTTGTATAGATTTTTTGTTTTAAGATTTTATTTATTTATTCATGAGAGACACAAAGAGAGGCAGAGACACAGGTAGAGGGAGAAGCAGGCCCTATGCAGGAAGCCGGATGTGGGACTTGATCCTGGGACTCTGGGATCATGCCCTGAGCCAAAGGCAGACGCTCAACCGCTGAGCCACCCAGGCATCCCTAGTATGGTTTTTTAACCCTTTGTCTTAAATGGATTTGTTTTTTTTTTTTTTTGTCTGTGTTTTCAGTATGGCTGCTTTTGGTTTCCAGGGCACCAGAGATCTTAGTCCCCAGCAGATGGTTGTGAGGGAGAAAATTCTTGATATGGTTATTGACTGCTTTAAACGTCATGGAGCAAAGAGGCTAGATACTCCAGCATTTGAGCTTAAGGTAAGAGGAGAGAGTGCTGGAACTCCATTTCTTTATCTGCCTTTAGATTCCTGAAGAGCTTTTAGTCTGTGTTCTGGAGTCCTCCTTTGAACTTTGGTGGGTTTTGTTTGATTCCTGCAGGAAATGCTCACTGAGAAATATGGAGAAGACTCTGGACTAATCTATGAACTGAAGGATCAGGGTGGAGAGCTACTGTCCCTGCGCTATGACCTTACTGTATCTTTCTGAGTGTTAGAGACTGACCTCTCTTTCCAAACCCAGGGGAGTTTCTTTGACAAAAGGGACAACTGTGCATCTGGAATCCCATAGGTCTTTTTGCAGCAGCCTTTACTTCCAGTTCCTCCCAGAAGGCAATTCTACCAGCAGAGGCTGGCCCAGATCACTGTCATTTAACTTTACTGTGTATCAGACTCCCTTGGGGAAGATTATAGAAATACCAGGTATCTGGTGCCTAGCCCCAGATATTAATTCTGTACGTGATGTGGGATTCAGCAATCTGCATTTTATTTTTTTATTTTTATTTTTTTAAAAAATATATATATTTATTTATGATAGTTACACACACACACACACAGAGAGAGAGAGAGAGAGAGAGAGAGAGAGAGGCAGAGACATAGGCAGAGGGAGAAGCAGGCTCCATGCACCGGGAGCCCGACATGGGATTTGATCCCGTGTCTCCAGGATTGCGCCCTGGGCCAAAGGCAGGCGCCAAACCGCTGCACCATCCAGGGATCCCAGCAATCTGCATTTTAAACAGGCACCTGGGGTCATGAAGAGACAGGTGGTTCTTAGCCTATACTTAAGAAACAAGGACATTAAAAAAAATAAAGAAAGAAAGAAACATTGACATAGAAGTTACAGGCAAATCTAGGTTCTCAAACTTGACCATTTTGAAATGGTTGAGAATTGATCTGAATGGGAAGGGAACAACCCATACTTGGAGTTCTTGGGTCATTTCTCTTTCAATAGATAGCAGGCCAGCTTCCCTTGTTCTTTTACTGAACTTGCACTTTCGCTTGGTGGGATTCCTTCATTCCTTTATACTGAATGTCAACTACTGCTAGACCTTGGGGATAGCGGGAAACAAGACAGAGAAGGTTCTTGTTTTCATCCTCGTGGAAGAGATCCAATGGGTAATGGCCCAGTCCTCCAAATGTCTGTACAGTGGGCCTAAGCTTTGGATGCAGTAAACTTTCTCCTTAACCTGTTTATGTGAGGTCCCTTTTGCACGTTATCTCGCCATGAATAAAGTGAAAAGGATGAAGCGCTACCAAGTTGGAAAGGTATGGCGACGAGAGAGCCCAACCATAGTCCAAGGCCGCTACAGGGAATTCTGCCAGTGTGTAAGTAACCTGATGGAGGCAGCAGGGTTTGATAGTTTGAGGGGCTACTACCTAGGAACTGGCTGCTCAGTGAAGATTTTTTTTCCCCTTTTTCTGATTTGCTGTAGGATTTTGACATTGCTGGTCAGTTTGACCCTATGATCCCTGATGCAGAGTGTTTGAAGATCATGTGTGAGGTCCTAAGTGGTTTGCAGCTGGGGGACTTTCTCATTAAGGTGAGACCAGGGCAGAGGACCGAGTGGAGAAGTCTGGATTTGGCCTGATGCTGTCCCAGAACATCAGTGACCCCAGCCTTTAAGCCTATAGATCTGGGACTTTCTCAGTAGAGCTGTTGTCTTTTATCTATATCTATATAGTCACCCTATGGAATTTTCTTTCTGCACCTTTTCTGAGACAGGCTAATAGGGACTGCCATTGTTTTGAAGGAAAGGCATTGACAAGGCACTTGGGTTATTTCCACTGAGTTCACAGGTCAATGATCGGCGGATTTTGGATGGGATATTGGCTGTCTGTGCTGTTCCTCAAAGCAAGTTCCATGCCATCTGCTCCTCTATAGACAAATTAGACAAGGTAACTAAAAACACATACTTCAGTAGACCATATTAAAGTCTGTGCCCTGCCCTCAAATCTTTACCCCTAGAGAAAAATAAGGAGATGGTGACTGGAAGTGAGCTTTTACTGGGGAAGATAAGAAGACATTCTGAAGCAAGACCTGTGTTTATTGTGCAGTGTATTGACTGTGCCTGCATTTCCTGAGCTGCCTCTGACTTTGCTGCGTGTAGTGTTAGCTATTTGTGACCTTTCCAGTTAGATGAAGAAGTATCTTGGAACTGGGTTAATGTTTGGGTGTTTGCACAGATACCTTGGAAAGAGGTGAGACATGAGATGGTGGCAAAGAAAGGCCTGGCTCCTGAAGTGGCTGATAGAATTGGTGACTATGTCCAACGTCATGGTAAGAACCAGCGTTTTCAGAGCTATGTGATAGAACTGGAGTAAAGGGGATGTGTATACAACTTCTATCTCTGAAACAGCGCCTTTCCGAAGATATGCTAAGTGCCAGAACCTGGCCTGAATTTAATTTCCCTTTCACTTAGTGTAATGACCGCTTTATGTCATCAGATGGCAAAGGCAGAAGAGGAGTCTAGTCAGGATTTTTTTTTTATAAATAAGAAAATGAGGAGGATTCGTTGGAGCACATGAGGTATAAATTTGGATAAAACACCTCATTGAATAGCACAGACCTTATTTCTCCCCATATGTCTCCGCAGGTGGGGTATCCCTGGTAGAGGAAATGTTCCAGGATTCTAGACTATCCCAGAACAAGCAGGCCTTAGAGGGTTTGGGGGACTTGAGGTTACTATTTGAATACCTGACTTTATTTGGAATTGCTGAGAAGGTAAGCTGAGTTGAGAGTGGACTTCCTGCTGAACTTTGGGGCTCTCAGGGTCCTAAGTCTTTTTTGGGGACTTACTGTAGTCTTATTCCCACAGATCTCTTTTGACTTAAGCCTAGCTCGGGGCCTGGACTACTATACTGGAGTGATCTATGAAGCGGTGCTACTACAGACCCCAGCTCAGGCTGAGGAGTGCCTCAATGTGGGCAGTGTGGCTGCTGGTGGACGCTACGATGGGCTGGTGGGCGTGTTTGATCCCAAGGGCCACACGGTGCCGTGTGTGGGACTCAGTATTGGGGTGGAGCGAATCTTTGCCATTTTGGAAGAGAGGATGAAGGTAGGTCCTAGGTAGGGGTGCATTTGGGCTGGAGACTAAAGACTCATGTTTAGGCAGCCCCAGTGGCGCAGCGGTTTAGCGCCATCTGCAGCCTGGGGCGTGATCCTGGAGACCCGGGATTGAGTCCCACATCGGGCTCCCTGCATGGAGCCTGCTTCTCCCTCTGCCTGTGTCTCTGCCTCTCTTTCTCTCTGTGTCTCTATGAATAAATAAATAAAATATTAAAAAAAAAAATAAAGACTCATGTTTGTGGATATACAGTTAGACTGTTTTTCTGATGATCCTTTTGTCTTTTTTTTTTAAGTAGTGATACACAAGAGTTTTTTATTAGTTTTGCTTTCCTTTCTCTCTTTAATCAGACTGCTGGTCTGAAGATACGGACTACAGAGACCCAAGTGTTTGTGGCTACACCACAGAAGAACTTTCTTCATGAACGGTTGAAGCTAATTTCAGAGCTTTGGGATGCTGGGATCAAGGTATGGTAGAACTGATGTCCAAGTCATTGAGGTATATATGGCCATTCAGGTGGCCATTTCTATCTTATGCCTAAGATGGAACTCAAGACTTTTCTGGTGTTTATTAGAGTGTCTTCTAGTAGGAGGGCTAGCTCCTCATTTCTTTGGAAATGCTTGAGTAATGTGGTCGCTTCTAAGCCCTTACTCTCTCTTCACCCTTTTCAGGCAGAGCTGCTGTATAAGAACAACCCTAAACTACTAACTCAGCTGCATTACTGTGAGCACATGGGCATTCCACTGGTGGTCATTATTGGTGAGCAAGAACTGAAAGAAGGGGTAATCAAGCTTCGTTCAGTGGCCAGCAGGGAGGAGGTGAGTGGGAAATAGAACCAAGTGTTTCTACCTTTCTTAGATTCTTTTAAGAAATATGTATCTTATGGGTGAGGAAATATCTCCAGGGTTAATAGTGGTAGAGATGAATGAAGACCCATTCAGGCAACCCTTTAGCCAGTGAATATTAGCTAGGAGGGCAGAAGGACAAATTAAATCTTAATGGGTATTTTGAGACCAATCCAATGAAATAGACATAGATCAGTTGTTTGACTCTCTCTCTCTCTCTCTCTCTCACAAGATTTTATTTTTTAAGTGATCTCTCCACCCTGCTTGGGGCTCAAACTCACAACCCTGAGGTCAAGAGTCACATGCTCTACCAATTGAGCCAGGCAGGTGCCCCAGATATGTAAATCTCTTTAGTCTTGAAAGCGTAATTCTCCAGTTCATCTTGAAGCCCACACTTCTTCCTACTGATTACATAAAGTAGTGGGATCAGATACAGGGTAAAATGAATCTGGAAAAGCAGTGACTAGGAATCTAGAATCACTTTCTAGTTTGTCACACGAAGGTTCTCTTTTATGTTACAGGTGGCTATTAAACGGGAAAATCTTGTGGCTGAAATTCAGAAGAAACTATCTGAGTCTTGATCCTTGCCTGCTTGCCATCTGCTGCTCTTTCTAGAAGACGTTTCTTGTGGACTGAGTTCCTGATGGACTTTGCAGTTGCTGGCCGGGATGGGTGACAAGTTCCTCTGCCTCCTCCATCCTTTCTGGGTACAAAGCTGTGGGAGGTCCTGAGGACTCCTGGGCTAGTGTGAGCAGCTATTCTGCATGGGTGCAGATGGCTGGTATGTGAAAGAGACATGCTCTAACTGCAGAGACAGATGGCAGATTTGAAGTGCCATGGAATGCTGCCAACAGGTGCTGAGATGGTTGCTTTGAGCAAAGCTCTAGGAAGGTTGCCTCAGGCTGGGACCATTGAGATCAGAAGTCAGATATGTGGCCTTCCGTTGTGGCTTCTGAACCAGATTCTGGGAAATTTGTCCACAACCTGCCCTTGGCTTGTCCAGGGAGTATTGGGAGATAGCAAGGAAGGGGCAAATGGCTGCCTTCTCCTTTGAGGACAGAGATGCTATCCTAAGGGCATAGGAGTGCTCATGGTTGTGGCATCTCTACCCCATCTGCTGTTAGTAGAATGAGGCTGTCTGTTTAGTAATTTTGAATGTTGAATTTAATAGGTGACTTGACAAGATGGTCTAATCTTTTGAGATTTTGGAGACCATTTCCTGTGCCAGAATTACTGCTCGACTATGTTCCATGTTGTCCTATGGAGGTGGCTGTTCTAGAAATGATTGGATAATAAATAAAATACTAAATGTAGTAGTTTGAGTGATTTGTTATCAAGGGATTGGTTTGCATAGGCCATAGAAAACCCTCAAGTGTACACTGCACAATTCTGAGAACTAGGAGCAACCTCCCTGGGGTGATGCTTCTGAATTCAGTGAAGGAAACAGTTTTCCAGTGCCCCCACTTCACCCCCCATCAACTTGGAGATACAGTCACGTCTAAATCAACATAGTGAGATGCATGCCAGAGTTCACCCTACAGCATTGCTGATGACTGGCCTTTCCAAGTCCCATCATGTTGATTAAATTGTGCCCTATTGATTGAATGATTATAAAGTTCCTCAGTTGAAGGAAAAGTGATTTAACCGAATGATGATAGCATTGCTTCAAAATAAAGAGTGTGCAAAAATTGCTTTCTATATATGCGCTGGACAGGCTGCAACTTAGAAACACTGGGTGTCGCGGGCCATATCTTTAGTGCATACAGGTAAATAGGGCAGCTAGAGGCTCCTAATAATTCCTTCAGCCTTAAAAATTAGAAACTTGGCAAACGGATGCACAGTTGCTTAAGACTAGATCAAAGGGCCCTGATCCAAATTGCTTCCTTGTTTATAAAATAGACCAGTTGAATTAAATCAGCCCTTAGATGATTGTTTAGAAAACCAAGGCAAAAGACATTAGTACGCGCCCTTACTTCCGTGTTGCTTCATGCTCTCCATGCGCATGCACCATTTCCCTGGGTCAGAGGAGGGGCCGACGACCCTGTTTTAGAAGTCCTTAGCTCGTTTAGAACGCGAAACTCTAAGCTTATTGGAGGGCAAGCTTGCTTTACGGCTCAGGTCCGCTTTTTACGTCATTTTCCGGCTTCCCATTCACTTCGCAGTGAAGATGGCGTCGGGCAGCGGGGTAGGTGTTGTGTGTGAGGAGGCTTTGGTCGGGGGGCAGAGGGTGCCTTCGTAGCGCGGAATATCCTGCACCCAACTGGCTTCTCGACACCTCCTTGCGGCCCAATGGTCCGAGTTCAAGAGCTTCCTCGTAGGGTCCTGGCACAGGGTCTGTGGAATCGCGGAGAACTCTTGGGTTGGGGTCCTGAGGCCACCTCAGCCTTCTGGTGCGGTGTGGAGAGTCTTCGCTCTCGACAGGTCCGGGGGGTCGCCTTGCCGGCGTGGACGCGGTTCCCTCCGTTTCTCTAGGGTTCCGATATGATTAGCGACGAATCTTGAGCGCTTTTTTCCCTACAGACAAAAAACTTGGACTTTCGCCGAAAGTGGGACAAAGATGAATATGAGAAGCTCGCCGAGAAGAGGCTCACGGAAGAGAGAGAAAAGAAGGATGGTGGGTGCCTACTCCCTAAAGGGCAGGGGTATCGTAGAGGTGAAGCCATAGCTGGAGAGCGGGTGGGGAGTTGAAATGCGATGTCCTGGTACCTTGTGTAACCTCTGGCTGAATGTTGCCTCCCTGGTTCTCCATTTCTCACTGTATAAAATGGGAGCGAAGAGATGCACTGAATATACTCAGAGGTATTTCCCAGTTCTGTTTCCTCTGCTTTCTTGCCTTCTTTTTGCTTAGCTCGTTTTGTACTTTCTTCAAGTGCAGAGAAGAGAGGAGAAGCCTTAGTAGTGACAGAGATGTGGAGTATTTTGCTGCTATGCACTACTCCTATTGAGGATACTCTTTCCGTTGAAGTCACTTAAGGGGAAGAATATAACTGGTCCAGTCAAGTCCTTCCCCTGTGGTCTGAGAAGAGTGAGGGTACTGGGAGGAATGTGTGATTGATTCAGCTGGTGGTTAGTAGTACTGTTTCTCTGCTTTGTACAGTGTTGCGGAGTTGGTTCTCCTCTTCTAGTTAGAGAATCCACTATACAAAAAGAATCCTTATTTTTTCTTATGCTTTCACCTTACTTTCACACCACCTTGCACAAACTAATCTTTTTAGTTTTGATCTAATTTGTACAGTAGCAAGTAACAGATATTGCCTGAATGTTGGTCCCATTTAGAAAATCTTCCCCAGCCTTCTAAAGATTCTTTTTTGTGTATTACACTTGGGGTATCTGTCTGAAAGTATTACTGAGTGTCCTTGCTTTTCTTTTAAAAGTTTACTCTTTGTGAAAATTAATTCCTTCCTTCAATTCAGTTAACAATAAAAAACTTTGTTTTTAGACTTACTGGTTTTGAAGTGGAAAAAAGCTATGTAGAGTTAGGGATTGCATATCATTTTTTCCTGTGTTGAGATTCTCCCTAGTTGCTGCTAGAAGTGCTTTTTGTGTCCCCTGCTTCAGGCTTAAGAAAGAAATGAAGAGTAGACATCTGTATTTTGGGTTTCATGCATTTCTTTTCGTTTCTGCTTAAGGAACTGTAATAATAAAAGGACTTTCTTCTGTCTTATATTTTAGGAAAACCAGTACAGCCAGTCAAACGGGAGCTTCTCCGGCATAGGGACTATAAAGTGGACCTGGAATCCAAGCTTGGGAAGACAATTGTCATTACCAAGACCACGCCACAATCTGAGATGGGAGGGTGAGTGACTTTTCATCTTTTTCAGGAGCCAAGACTAGGTCTAATAAACTGTGTTGATTTTAGCAAGTGTCGAGGAGAGGTTCTCTGGCTCCAGGATAGCAATCATGTTACTTATAATTCTATCTTTATTTTTATTTATTTTTTTAATAGTCCTACCTTTAGATATTTCTTTGTGTCACTCCTGTCCCAGGCCTCAACTAAACATGGTAGTGTCTCTAGGAGGGGTTACTCTGTAGACCTCTTCATATTGGCACTGTAACTCTTTCTTAATATCTGAAGAGGAAGAAATGAAGGAAAGGACTCCTGAAAACATTTCTAGGGGAGAGATTTCTCGAGCTAGAATGGAGCCTAGAAGCTGTTGATGGTGAATAAAGGGAGTTGAGGTTCCAGACTGGCTGCAAAGGTTGTAGTTGTTACGGATTGCTTGGTTGTACACTTTCCTCCTAGACCAAGACTATGACCCATGAGAAGAGGTGTCCTGTAAGGACTTTTGTTTTTTTCCCACCACTACTACAGTATTCATTTACGTTTTCTAGCAGGAGGGCAAAACAGATAGCAATGAGTGACATGTCTGAATTGCTTAGAAAACTCACATCAGGGATCCCTGGGTGGCTCAGTGGTTTGGCGCCTGCCTTTGGCCCAGGGCATGATCTTGGGGTCCTGGGATCGGGTCCTATGTCGGGTTCCCTGCGTGGAGCCTCCTCCTCCCTCTGCCTGTGTTTCTGCGCCACCCCCGCTCTGTTTCTCATAAATAAATAAATAAAATCTTAAAAAAAAAAAAAAACACCTCACATCATTCTTTTCTGTATTAGTTACCTATTCCTGTGTAAATTAACTAACTCACCAAAATTTAGCAGCATAAAACAGATAGCTAACAATTTGGGTAAGTAATCTGGAAAGGCTTACCTCTGGAAAGGCTTAGGGTTTCACAAAGCTGCAATGAAGGTGTCTGCTGGGTCTGCATTCATATGAGGCTTAAGTGGGGCTGAATGATTTGATTGAAAGCTCTTTCATGTAGTGCTTTGGAGGCCTCACTTCTTTGCCCCATGGGCCTCTAGTGCTGTTGACAATAAAGCAAGTGGCTTCCCAAGAGTAAGACATGGACAGGCTATTTATTTATTTATTTTAATTTTAATTTTTTTTTTATTGGAGTTCGATTTACCAACATATAGTATAACACCCAGTGCTCATCCCGTCAAGTGTCCCCCTTAATGCTCGTCACTCAGTCACACCATCTGCGCGCCCACCTCCCCTTCCACTACCCCTTGTTCATTTCCCAGAGTTAGGAGTCTCTCATGTTCTATCACCCTCTCTGATTTTTCCCACTCTTTTTCTGTCCTTTCCCCTATAATCCTTTTCACTATTTTTTATATTCCCCGTATGAGTGAAACCATATACCGTTTGTCCTTCTCCCATTAACTTACTTCACCCCGCATAATACCCTTTAGTTAGACACGGACAGACTAACACTGCAGCCTTTTAAAAAAAATTTTTTTTTTAAAGATTATTTATTTATTTATTAGACAGAGAGACAGAGGGAGAAGCAGGCTCCATGCAGGGAGCCTGATGTGGGACTCGATCCCAGGTCTCCAGGATCACAGCCCGGGCTAAAGACAGCGCTAAACTGCCAAGCCACTGGGGCTGCCCCTTTTTAAAAATTTTTAATAAAGATTTTACTTATTTATTCATAAGAGACAGAGAGAGGTAGAGACGTAGGCAGAGACAGAAGCAGGCTCCTCTCAGGGAACCCAATGTGGGACTTGATTCCTGCACCCAGGATCACCCCTGAGCCGAAGGCAGATGCTCAACCGCTGAGCCATCCAGGCGTCCCAGAAGCCTTTTTTTTTTTTTTTTTTTTTATAGCCTATTCTTGGAAGTGACACAGCGTAATTTTTGAAATTTTTTTTTTAAGAATTTATTTGCAAGAGACTAAACAAGAGAGAGATGAGCAGCGGGAGGGCCAGAGGGAGAAGCAGACTCCCCAGTGAGCAGGGAGCCAGATGCCAGGCTCAGTCCCAGGACCCTGAAATCATGATCTGAACCAAAGGCAGACACTTAACTGACTGAGCCACCTAGGTGCTCTGAAATATTCTTTTGGTCACAGGACAATTCTAGTACAGATTGGTAGGGAACTGCACAAGGTACGCATACCATGAATTTGGGAATCATTGTGGGGCTATCTTGGAGTTTGGCTACCATACTCTTCCGCGAGGTAAGGCTTTATAAAAATGAGAAGTGCTGCCTTCTTGTAAACAGAAAATTTGCCTGAAAATATGAGGTTTTTAACATTTATTTATACATTTATTTATTTATTCATTCCTTCATTCATTCATTCATTCATGAGAGAAACAGAGAGAGAGAGAGGCAGAGACATAGGCAGAGGGAGAAGCAGGCTCCATGCATGCAGGAAGCCCCGATGTGGGACTCGATCCCGGGACTCTGGGATTGCATCCTGAGCCGAAGGCAGATGCTCAGCTGCTGAGCCACCCAGGCATCCCCAAAAATGAGTTTCTTAGTTGAAAACATTAAGATCCTTAAGCTAGATTTGACCACAAGTGCTGTTTCTTCTGTTCGCTAGGTATTACTGCAATGTCTGTGATTGTGTGGTGAAGGACTCCATCAACTTCCTGGATCACATTAACGGAAAGAAACGTAAGGCTTGGAGGTAGTTTGTGACTAGGACTGGGATTGGGTTTTGGAGACGGGGTAGGAGAAGGAGTGGTTTCAGTTGAATCTTTTTTTAATGTCTGAGAATTTCTCCGGTTGCTTCATCCTTTACTTCATTATCTAATGTTTCTGGAGGCACTGAGATGAGACACTGTTTTAGGCTCTCAACAAGCTCAGACCACAGTCTTCTCCAAGGCCTCGCTGTCCCCACTGGTATGCATTTGCTCACTATGGGCATTTGAAAGCCACTTGCATCTTGCTATTTGTAGCTGCTGCTTCTGGGAACAAGTAAAGCCAAGGGTTGTTTATTGTTGTTGTTTTCCAGCTATAATTATTTTTGCTGTGTATTATTTTATGAAAAATTTTTTTTCTTTTTAATGTCAAAGACTTTTTGATGGCCTGAAGATATTGTAATGTCATTACCTTTTTCACTATTGATCCCACCCAGATCAGCGAAATCTGGGCATGTCTATGCGTGTGGAACGTTCCACCTTGGATCAGGTGAAGAAACGTTTTGAAGTCAACAAGAAGAAGATGGAAGAGAAACAGAAGGATTATGATTTTGAGGAAAGGATGAAAGAGCTCAGAGAAGAGGTAAGGCTTTTTTCCATCCTTTGTCCTCCAGCTTTGAATTTTATGTTACTAATCATGAGGAGGCTGTCTTCCTCATCCACTCCTACTCTCGGGATAGTTGTATCCTGAATCTCTTTGTATTGGGGGAAACATTTATTGCCTTAGAGACTCTCAAGATCTGAAGGATATGGTTATAAACCTATCCTTTTTTCCTAGACTCTGGGCCTACTTTTTTTTCTTTAAACTATAGGAGGGATTAAGTTCACCTAGTCCCCAAGAGGCACATAGAACTTGGCTGACTGGGTCAGAATTCTCTTTCCTTCACTTACTAGCTATGACTTTTGGGCAAGTTATGTAACTTCTCCATGTCTCAGTTTTCTCATATTAAGAGATCTTAGATTATAATCTACATAAGTGTTTAGATCAATTACTGGCATATACTCTATGCACCAGGGCGATAGTTGCTATTATATGGTTCTGTTTTCATAACCTTTTTAAGAACTAGAGATGTAGGACTGAGAAGTACTCTTCACAGGCTAAAACTTCTTTTTGTTGTTTCTTAAAATCTTTACTGTGGCTCTTCCTCTGCTCTTGAAATTTTACTTGCCTTTACTATTTTCTCCTAAAGATAGAAAGGAATCTTGACACTCACTTGTCTCTTTCAACATTTGGCTTAGGAGTCTGAACTGATTCTGAGTGATTTCCCCCCTAGGAGGAAAAGGCCAAAGCCTACAAGAAAGAGAAACAGAAGGAGAAGAAAAGGAGGGCTGAGGAGGACTTGACATTTGAGGAGGATGATGAGATGGCAGCTGTGATGGGCTTCTCTGGCTTTGGTTCCACCAAGAAGAGTTACTGAGGCTTTCTATGCTTGGCCTTTTGTTAACTGTGTGTGTGGGGGGGGTCATTTGGGGGGGGGGCTTGGGAAAGTCCTTAAGAGCTGCAATGGGGGTGGACTAGAGGGTGGGTGTTGGTGGTTTCCCTCTACTTTGGGAGAGAACACAGGATGCAGAGGTAATGCTGTGGCATATTCCTTCAGCCTCAGCATATCACTGGAGTCACAGGGCCTCTGCCTGAGTTCCCAATAAAGAAAAACCTCTTCTGAGGCTGCTTTCCCAAACCTCCCCCTGCATCTTTCCCTCTTCATCTGTCCAATCTCTTTGAGCAGCTGACATTTATCCTGTGTTTTCCATTTGTTTTAATTTTGACTCTTGCTTAGCCTGCAGCAGAAGGGTTCTCTGGGTCCCCAGTGTCCAGTTGATAGCACATTTTTGACCAGCCCTCTTTTTTCCCCAAACCTCCTGTGGTTCTCTACTGCCTGTGCATGCATGTGTATTTCTGCCTGGGTCAGTGATATGTGCGGGCGTGTGTGCATGAATTTGTCACATAGAGGGAGCCTGAGCTAGATCCTCAGAGCATTGTTGCCTTGGGGCCTGATGTTCTTGGCTCCCTCAGTGCATGTAACAGGAAATTAAATGGGATGAGTGTTTGGTGTGGTTTTTGTCTGGTGAGTTTTTTAACCTTTGTTTTTCATATGTAGACTGTTCAGCCTTTCCTGTTTGTTTCATTTTATTGAGGATTACTCTTTTTTTCTTCCTTGTGAGCAGGCTCTTGGAAGAACCTATTTGATGCAAAAAAAGAAAAAGAAAAAAAAAACTTTATATGGGAGCCCTTGGGTCTCAGAGACTGTTCAACATGTATAATAAATGGCATTGACTGGGCCTATTCACATTTGGTGGGAACATTCCATATTCTTCCCAGTGTATTGTTTTGTTTTTTTTTTTCTTCCTACACTGAATATTTACATACAGATTTCAGGCTGCTTTTTTCTCCCTTCATTTGAGCCCTGTCACTTTTTTTTTCTAGGTTCCTTCAGCACGAGTTGTATTTTCCTCTGATGGGATGTGTGTCCGGAGGAATCTAAACACAACTTTTCCTATAATTTTAGCCTCCTTTGGTCTGTTTTTGGAACAGCAGAATTTAGGGTGGAACTTGGTGTTTTCCTTGCTGTCTGCAGTTAGGCTAAGCACAGGGTTATTCAGTTTTAGCACTGTTGACCTTTTGGGCTGGTTAATTCTTTGTTGTGGAGGCTCTCTTACGCATTTCAGGATGTTTAGCAGTGTCCCTAGCCTCTACTCCCTAGATGCTGGTAGCACCTCCTACCCGAGTTTGACAAATAAGGATGTGTCCCCAGGAGTTGGGGGTGAAATCCCTCCTGCCAGTCCCATTGAGAAGCATTGACAAGCTGTCTCCCTACTTTGGTCTGACTTGAGAATTAGATGGCACAGACTGCTTAACTAAAGAAAAAGGTTTGATATTCCCTGAATTGGGTACTGTGCCAGATCCTAGGGATATAGGGGAAAAATCAGTCTTTTAAACCAACAATAGTTACACAAACTTCAAGCAGATGAATTCTGTAATTTTAACTGGTTCTATATCCTGAAAAGTGGGTTCTGTGTGTGTTAAGAAGGCTGCCATCAGCAGCTTTGGTGTAAATAAGCACAAGGTTTATTTACATTCTCTGTCTCATCTGGCCCCTAGAAGCATCTGAACTACCTTTGGGTCCCTTAAAGTACTATGCTCTTCCCTTTGGACTTTTGTACATAACTCCCTTTTTACCAGGCATAACTTTTGCCTATTTTATTTCTGATGCTCAGTCTTGCCATTGGGATCACTGTGAATGTGTGTCTACTGGCTCAAAGTTTCATGTATGGTATTTGTTGGCGAATTGCAGGCAGATTAGTGGATTCTTCCCTTGATAGGATTATGTGCTCTACAGGTCATTCAAGTAACAGCTCTACTCTAGTAGGCTGGGCCCTTTTGCTCTCCATTTCAAGGCAGGCTGGAGAAAGCGTCAGCTGAGTTCCTTGCATTTTTCATTACTCTTCAGGAAACCGTCTAATTCAGATTGTCTTCAAGTGATTTCTCTCTCTTTGGTACAGTGAAATCTTAACTATGGTCACCTGTACTAAAAAGTGATTTTGAACAACAGGTTCTCTCAATTCTCTTGGGACTGGCAAGTGGGTTTGAGTCTCTAAGGGGTGTGTCTAGGTCATGGATATGTGAAGAGACTTAAGATGGTGACTTGGGAGGGGAGAAGAATGAGATGGAATGGAAATTTAGGAGCCCAGAGCAATTCCAGATAACTCAGGAATCTCCGGAAGAGAAACTTCTTCGGTGTTTGTGGTCTTTCTAAAATCTATGAAAATTTTGCATTCTGATTGAGGAATATGCCTGTTACTGGCCTACATGTGTTCATTTATTCAGTGATTGCTAAGATACTAAACAAGTTGTAGGACCTGGTATTCTTTGCTGGGGTAAGGCATCAGGATTCCAACTGTCATAGAATTTACATTCTGGTGGAATTGCCTTTTACAGTACCTAGGAACAAAAGTTTGGATGATTTCAGGCACCCCCAGGGACTCTTGCTGCATCGCTCTGATAACCCCCTCCAAAAATTTAAATGTGAAGATTCTTTAATCAGCAATTCTACTCTGAAGTGTCTATCCTAAAAACATACCTGTGTTTGTGTACATATACTTGAAAGTTTACTGCAGCTTTGTTTATATAACAGTGAAACATTTAAAATAAAACTGGTACATTTATTCTTGAACATAATGCAACCATTACTATATATATGAATCAGATTTGTGTATTAACAAGAAAGATCACCAAGACATACTATCAAGTAAAAAAGCACAAAAACAATACCAGACAAATTGATGTCCACACCCCCCCAACCTCCTTCATAAAACTATATTATATGTACAGTTAAATATAGAGATTGAGAAAAAGGACTGGAAGGACATACACTGAAATTCTAACTGGTTAACTGGAAGAAATTATGGGAAGAGAAAGGTTAGCTGTTTAACAATGTACATAAAAGGAATAGAGTATTCATGTGGGGTTATTTTTTGGTCCTGAAACCCAGGAATAAATATATGTGGAGGTTAAAATAATGTTTAAAATGCTAACAAATAATACCGTGAAACACCTATTATGGCACCTGAGAGGGGCTGTTAGGTATATCTTGTTTAGTTTTGGAGTTCCAAGGTAAGGCCTTGAATACACCTTGCACCTTTAAATATTCCACTCTTGACTCAGGCACTGTGAAATTGATTTGGTCAAAGAGTGACTCCCTTTGGTTGTTCAGCCAGCATAGAGGCTGAAGGGGATGTCCAGAGACCTGTGGACCACGTGACTGCTGCAACAATAAACTTGGAAGGCACCTGATTGGTAGAGCTCCCTAGGCTGTTAAACAGAGGAGTTCTTAATAGCAGTGTGTCCTCAGATGAGCACTCCTGAGTGTCTGGGTAGGGCAGTTGTTTGGATGCTAGAGTGTACTGGATCACTCCTGTTATGATTTAACTTATTTTATCACATGTCTTTCTTGCCAGTCAAGATAATATAATCTAGAGGATGTGGCCAGCTTGTCCCTAGCTGAGCAGTTCCTTCAAGTAAAGCATCTTCTCACCACTCAAGTGATTCAGAACCTTCCAGACCTTTTGCCACTGTTCTGGTTTTCTTCGTTCCCCCACTAATAAGCCTTGGAGAGAGTGTTTTAGAACTCCTCTCCTGTCCAGAGCAGCAGAGTGACTAGGTATCTAGTGGATGTTAAGCATCCTTTACACCAGGAACCAGGCTCCTTGGAGATATGGTTGATGCTAGGCCTGGGGAAATAAGGAGATGAACCTGGAGTGTCTTAGTGCCAGAAAGTGGGGAAATGCTAACAAAAAACAACCCTAAACAAATAAATGAAAAACTCAAAGTTACTTTTGGTGTTTAGTAATGTTTGTGCGTTTGGTCTAGAGGTTACAGTTACACTTGTATCTTCTCAGGTCCTCAAATTTATTTTCCTCATTTGGAATCTATTTTCATTTGTCAGCTATATCTTGACTCCCTCCTACTATGTAATCACAATTATTTTGTTATGTTTTCTTTTTCTCCCATTTTTTAAGTAATATTTTTAGGAAAAAAAACTTGCATACTCTTTTTCCACTCTTAATCACCTTTATTTTAGAGATCTACAATGTGATATATTTAATGCTTGCCATCATAAGATTTTTTGAATTTCCCCCCAGTCTTTACTTGGATAAAACTCATTCTCTTATAAATTCCTCAAGAGAGTTTCCTGAGTTCTTGAGTTCTTGCATTTTTAAAACTGATTTTTATGGCTTTGGTATTTGAAGGACAGGTGGATATAAGATCTTGGTTCACATTTCTTTTCCTTGAGTTTTTAAAAACTGCTCTGCTGTTTTCTTTGTATGTTGTAGTGAAAATACCGACCTGATTCTTTCCTTCCTAAATGATTTTGTCTTTTTGTATGAGGCCTGGATGTTTTTTTTTCCCCTTAATTCTAATTGATTTTCTAAGGTATATCTCAGAATTGACCATTCCATATCAATTTTCCTAGGTTCATGGAGGACCCTTTGGATTTGTAGATTCATGTTTTATTTCCAGAAAGTTTTCTTGTATTACAATTTTGAATATTGTAGCTGTTCCATTATTTTGCTTTTTTTTTGTTTATATATGTTGGATTTTTTTTTTGCCTTGGTATTTAGCACTTTCTCTTTGATCCTTCTTAATTGCTTTCTTGATTTTTATTTTCATTTCTTGACTGTTTTTATTTCTTTCCTTAATATCACTTACGATATTTTAAACAGTTCTTTTTTTTATTTTTTTAATTTATTTATGATAGTCACACAGAGAGAGAGAGAAAGAGAGAGAGGCAGAGACATAGGCAGAGGGAGAAGCAGGCTCCATGCACCGGGAGCCCGACATGGGATTCGATCCCGGGTCTCCAGGATCGCGCCCTGGGCCAAAGGCAGGCGCCAAACCACTGCGCCACCCAGGGATCCCACTTACGATATTTTAAGTAAAATATATTTCCCTTGGACATCGTATAAATTAGTCTCTTTTTTCCCTGAGATGATTTGTTTTTTTTCTTCAGGTTTTCCTTTTTTTAAAAAAAATTTTTTATTTAGTTTTTTTTTTTAAAGATTTTATTTATTTATTCATGAGAGACACGGAGAGAAAGAGAGAGGCAAAGACACAGGCAGAGAGGCAGGCTCCATGTAGGGAGCCCGATGAGGGACTCGATCCTCAGACTCTAGGATCATGCCCTGGGCTGAAGGCAGGTGCTCAATCACTGAGCCACCCAGGCGTCCCTCTTCAGTTTTTCCTGATTTTGACTAACTCTTGTCTTATATTTTTTTCTTTTTGGTCCACTTTTGTTCTGACTTATTTTTTATTTGTAATATTTTTTCATAACACCAAATGACTGTTTAAGGTTATTTAATTTCGGTTGGAGTGTCATCTTTGTTTCCCCATTTCATAGTTAGATTTTTTTAAAAGATTTTATTTATCCATTCATGAGAGACACAGAGAGAGAGAGAGAGACAGAGAGAGAGAGAGAGGCAGAGACACAGGCAGAGGGAGAAGCAGGCTCCATGCAGGGAGCCTGACGTGGGACTCAATCCCAGGTCTCCAAGGATCAGGCCCTGGGCTGAAGGCGATGCTAAACTGCTGAGCCACCTGGGCTGCCCTCATAGTTAGATTCTTAAATATATATATTTATTCTCATTTTTTGTTGACTTATTATAATGCCTGCCATTTTCTGTTCATTTTGAAATGTCTTTATTTCCAGGTTCAGCAATTGCAAATTAGGCAGGCAGTGTTTCTTCGAGTGTGGTCTTCTGTTGGAAGTTTGAAGTGAAATAGAATGTGCTTTTTTTGGAGGTGGAGCCCAACCTGGCATTATTCTGTGGAAAACTGAATGCCACCTCATTTTTTTTTGCTTAAAAAATTTTAATTGTGGTAAAATACACAGATCATAAAATTTACCATTTCAGCGATTTTTGAGTACAGTAAGTAGTATTTACATTCACGTTGTTATGCAACCATCACAACCAACCATCTCCAGAACTTCTTTCACCTTGTAAAACTGAAACTCTGTATCCATTAAACACTCCAGTGCCCACCCTCAGCCTCTGACAACCACTATTCTTTCTCTCAATGAATTTGACTACTCTACCTACCTTATATAAGTGGAATCATACAGTATTTGTCTTTTTGTGACTGGCTTTCTTTTGTATGTGTGACTAGCTTATTTCACTTTGCATAATGTGCTCAAGGTTCATGTATACTGTAGTATGTGGCAGGATTTCCTTTTTAAGACTGAATAATATTCTATTGTATATTTATATGCCACATTTTGTTTATCCATTTATTCACTGATGGACACTTGAATGGGTTGCTTCCACCTCTTGGCTGTGGTGAATTAGTGCTGTTATGAAGGTGGCTGCACAAGTATCAAGATCTTACTTTAAGCCCACTTGCCCTTTAGTGTAGAGTTTAAGGGTCTGGGCTCTGGAAACAGAGTACAGAGTTCAAACCATGGATCTAGAACATCCACACTCTGTAATCTTAGCCAGATAACCGCACCTGTCACACTGCTTTCTGATCTCAAGACATTAACATTCAAAGCACCTAATTTGTATAGTTCATGTGAAAACTCATTGGATTGTGGTGCCTGGCTGGCTCAGTTGTTAGAGCATATGACTCTTGATCTTGGGGTTGTGAGTTTGAGCCCCATGTTGGGGGTAGAATTTACTTTAAAGAAAATGAGGGGTGCCTGGACGGCTCAGTAGGTTGGGCATCTGTCTTCAGCTCAGGTCATGATCCCAGGGTCCTGGGATCAAGGCCAGTGTCAGCAGCGTTCCCTTGCTCAGTGAGGAGTCTGCTTCTCTTTCTGCCCCTTCCCCGCTCCTTCTCTCTCTCTTTCTCTCAAATAAATATTTAAAAAAATGAAATGGAGGGGCACCTGGCTGGCTCAGTCAATGGGCGTGCAAATTCTTGATCTCAGGGTTGTGAGTTTGAGCCCCACGTTGGGTATATAGATTCGTTAAAATATTTTTTTTAATTCCACAATTAATAAAAATAATATGCTTGGAACAGTAACTGACTCATAATTAGTGAATTGTTATTACTGGTACATCAAATAACTTAAGAGGATCAATTTACTGTCAACACATCACAAGTCACTAAAAGTTATTGACATCAAGTACAACTACTAGATAATAAAGAGGGCAAGATTCTGCTTTCAGTTCTTTTGGCTATATACTCAGAAGTGGGATTGCTGCGTTACATAGTAATTACTTTTTTTTTAGTTTTTTGAGGGACCTTCATGCTGTTTTCTATAGCAGCAACAGTATTTTACATTCCTAAAAACAGTGAAGAATTCCAGTTTCTCCATATCCTTACCAACACTTGTTATTTTGTTTCTGTTTTTTTTTTAATATTATAGTAGTCGTTTTAATGGGAACGACACGAATCCTCTATATTCTTGCATGTTTATTTTTCTGTTGTTATTGTCTACATCCATAAAATGTTGGTATTGTATTGGGATATTATCTATTAGTTTGGAGACAACTGATATCTTTATGATAAAAGTCAAAGGGTCTTACTTTAAGAACAAGGAATGTTTTCCACTTGCTTAAGTCCACATTTGTGCTTCTTAGAAGGACATTAAATTTTTCCACGTGTGAGATTTTGTACATTTCTTAGCAGATTTACTTTTAAGAATTTATCTTGTTTTGTTTATAAGTAGGATCTTCTATTCCTTAACACTTTCTAACTTGTTATTCATATATATGTGAAGATTGCTGATTTTAGTGTGTAAATTTTATGTCCTGACACTTTACTAAATTGGTTTATACTTCTTTTCCAATTAATATACTTGTTTGTTTTCCTTTCTGTGTCTACATTTGGTAATTACTCCAATGTAATGTTAAAAAGTAGTAAAAATAGAAAGCATCATTGCCTTGTTCCTGACCTTTATTAGAATTCTTCCATTGTTTCCTCATTAAGTAAGATGTGTCCCTAACATGCTTATATATGTGTGTATATATAATAATATGTGTATAATATGATAAAATATAATTTTAAAAAAGATTTTATTTATTCATTGGAGACAGAGAGAGAGAGAGAGAGAGAGAGAGAGAGGCACAGACACAGGCAGAGGGAGAAGCAGGCTCTATTCCATGCAGGGAGCATGACGTGGGACTCGATCCCAGGTCTCCAGGACCACAGCCTGGGCTGAAGGCGGCCCTAAACTGCTGAGCCACCTGGGCTGCCCAAAATATAATTTAATGCACACACATGGTGACCTTAGACATACAGGCAATTCCCATTTTAATTATTTTTAAAATTCTGAAAAGTGTGTTGAATGTTATAGAAGGGTCTTTTAGCACATAGGGAAGGAATTGTTACTTTTCTTCTTAGATCTACTGATTTGGATAAATGATACTATTGTAATTCGTAATGTTTCATTTTTGCAAATATAAATTCCACTTGGTCGTGATGTGTTATTTATATAATGTGTTGCTGGATTTTGTTTGCTATTTATTTATTCTGCCTCAATAACTGAGTCTGATCTGAAGTTGTATTTTGATTTTATTTTTAAACAGTCGTAGCTTTAGAGAAAAATTTCCTAGGAAATACAGAGAGGACCTCTGTGCCCTCTCTCCCGTTCCAGCTTTCTGTTATTAACAGCGTGCATTAGTGTGATACATTTGTTAAAATTTATGAACTAATATTAATATATTAACATTAAAGTCCATAGTTTTATTGTTTACTCTCTTTGTTTTATAGTTTTGTGGGTTTTGATAAATGCATAATTTCATATTTTCACCATTAGAGTCTATTATAGAATAGTTTCACTGCCCTAAAAAATGCCCTGCACTCCACCTTTTAATCCTACCTCCCTCAAATCAAACTTCTGGTAACCACTGATCTTTTCACTCTCTCCATAGTTTTGCCTTTTCCAGAGTAATATATAATTGGAGTCTTAAGAGTATGTAGCCTTTTCTTTTCTTTTCTTTTTTGAGTATGTAGCCTTTTCAACTGGCTTCTTTAATTTAGCAATATGCATTTAAGATTCCTCCATACTTTTTCATGGCTTGATAGCTCTTTTTTTTTAAGTCACTCAGTAATACAGGCATACTTTGGTTATTATTCTTTACTGTGCTTCATAGGTAATGTTTTTTCCCTCTTTTTTTTTTTTAACAAATTGAAGGATTGTGGCAATCTTGTGTTAAACAAGTCTACTGGTACCATTTACCCAGCAGCATTTGCTCACTTTGTTTTTGTGTCACATTTTGGCAATTTTTGATATATTTCAACTTTTCATTATTAACGAATTAATTATTCGTTAATTAATTATTAATTATTAATAATATTCGTTATGGTGATCTGTGATAAGTGATCTTTGATGTTACTATTGTAATTATTTTGAGGCACCATGAATTGTGCCAGTATAAGACAGTAAACCAGGAGAGCCTAAGTGGCTTAGACCATTAAGCATCCAACTCTTGATCTCAGCTCAGGTCTTGATCTCAGGATCATGAGTTCAAACCCCACATTGGGCTCCATGCTGGGCATGGGACTACTTAAAGAAAGACAAAATATGTAACAGTGAACTTGATCAGTAAATGTTGTGTGTATTCTTGACTACTCCACTGACTGGCTGTTCCCCCATCTTGTTCCCTCTCGTTGGGGCTCCCTATTACCCAAGACAACAATGTTGAAATTAGTAATTAATAACCCTACAATGCCCTCTAGTGTTCAAGTTAAATGTCTCTTTTTTATTATTTTTATTTATTTATGATAGTCACACAGAGAGAGAGAGAGAGAGAGAGGCAGAGACATAGGCAGAGGGAGAAGCAGGCTCCATGCACCGGGAGCCCGACGTGGGATTCGATCCCGGGTCTCCAAGATCGCGCCCTGGGCAGGCGCTAAACCGCTGCGCCACCCAGGGATCCCTCTAGGTTCAAGTTAAAAAAAAAAAAAAAAGTAAAGCTAGAAATGAGTAAGCTTAGGTAGCAAGGCATGTTGATTAGACAAGTTGAACATTGGGCCTCTTGAACCAGTTAGCCAAGTCGTGAGTGCAAAGGCAGTGTTCTTGGAAGAAACTGAGAGTTCTATTCCAGTGAACACATGAATGATAAGGTGAAACTGCCTTATGGTTGATATAGAGAAAGTTTTAGTAGATAGAAGATCAAACCAGCTACAACATTCCCTTAAGCCAAAACCTAACCCAGAGCAAGGCCCTAACTTTCTTCAATTCTGTGAAGCCTGAGAGGTGAGGAAGCTGCAGAAGAAAACTTTGAACCCAGCAAAGGTTGGTTTATGAGGTTTAAGGAAGGAAGGTATCTCCATGACAAGTAGACATGAATAGACATTTTTCTAAAAAAGACATAGAGATAGCCAACAGACACATGAAATGATACTCAACATCACTAATCAGGGAAATACAAATCAAAAGTACAATAAGATGCCACCTCACAGCTGTCAGAATGGCTAAAATAACACAAGAAACAGCAGGTATTGGTGAGAGAATGGGGAACCCTCTTGCACTGTTGGTGGAAATGCAAACTGGTGCAGCCACTCTGAAAAACAGTATAAAAGTTCCTCAAAAAGTTAAAAAAAATAGAACTACCTGAGGTGCTTGGGTGGCTCAGTCAAGTCTATGACTTTTGATTTCAGCTTAGGTCATGATCTCAAGGTTTTGATTGAACCACATGTCAGGCTCCACACCTAATGCTTAGGATTTTCTCTCTGCCTCCTCCTCTGCCCCTCCCTCACCTCTCTCTCTCTCTCAAAAAAGAAAATATATATGGGGTGCCTGGGTGGTTCAGTCGGTAAGAACCTGAGTCTTGGTTCCACCTCAGTTCATGATCTTAGAGTCATGAGATTGAGCCCTGTGTTGGGCTCCACACTCAGCAGAGAGTCTGCTTCTCTCTCTCTCACTCTGCCATCCCCCCTGCTCATGTGCTCTCTCGCTCTCTCTCTCTTTTAAGATTTTATCTATCCATTTGACAGAGAGATAGAGCCAGAGAGCATAAGTGGTGGGAATGGTGGAGAGGGAGAAGCAGGCTTTCTGCCGAGCAGGGAGGGCTTGATCCCAAAACACGGGGATCATGGCAGATGCTCAACAGACTGAGCTACCCAGAAACCCCTCAAGTAAGTCTTAAAAAAAGAACTACCCTATGATCCAGGACTTGGATTTAGGTATTTATCCAGAGAATACAAAAATGTGAATTCAAATTGATAATGCATCCCAATGTTTATAGCAGCAGCATCTGTAATAGTCAAACTGTGGAAACAGCCCAAGTGTCCATCAACTGATGAATGGATAAAGAAGATGTGGTATATATACACAATGGAATATTACTCAGCCATATAAAAGAATGAAATCTTGCCATTTGCAATGACATGGATGGAGCTAGTGATTATTATGGTAAGCTAAATAAGTCAGAGAAAGACAAAAATGCCTTATGATTTTACTTATATGTGGAGTCTAAAACAAAGGCAAAAAAAAAGACAAATCAAGAAATAGACTCTTAACTGTAGAGGACAGACTGATGGTTACCAGAGGGAAGGTGGATGGGGAGATGGGCTAAATGAGTGATGAGGATTAAGGAGTGCACTTGTGATGAGTATTGGGTGTTGTAAGGAAATGTTGACTGACTATATTGTACACCTTAAACTTACTCTGTAGGTTAGCCAACTGGAACTTAAATAAAAACTTTCAAAAAGTGCAAGTTGAAGCAGTAAGTTATCCAGAAGATCTTGCTAAGATAATTCATGAAAGTGGTACACAAAAGAACAAATTTTCAAAGTAGACAAAATAGCTTTCTGTTGGAAAAAGATGCCATCTAGGACTTTCATAGCTTGAAGCCAATTCCTGGCTTCAAAGCATGGGCTTACTCTCTCAGTAGGCGTTAATGCCTACTGAGGACTTTAAATTGAAGCCAATACTCATTAACAAGTCCAAAAATCCTAGGGCCCTTAAGCATGATTCTAAGTCTACTCTGCTTGTGCTCTGTAAATGGAACAACAAAGCCTGGAAAACAGCACATTTGGTTACAATGTGATTTGCTGAATATTTAAGCCCAGTATTGAGATGTACTCAGGAAAAAAAGATCTTTTTGAAATATTATTGCTCATTGACAATGCACCTGGTCACTCAAGAACCTCTATGGAGATGTACAGTGAAATTAATGTTCTCATGCCTGATAACACAACATCCATTCTGCAGCCCATAGATCAAGGAGTCATTTTGACTGTCAAGTCTTGTTATTGAAGAAATATATTTTGTAAGGCTTCAGCTGCCACAGATAATGATTTCTTGGACGGATCTGGGCAAAGTAAATTGGACAACCTGGAAAGGATTCACCATTCCAGATGCCATTAAGAACATTCTGATTCATGGGAAGAGGTCAAACTATGAACATTAATAGAGATTTTTAAAGGTGATGACAATCTTCATGGCTAACTCGAGGGGTACCTCAGTGAAAGAAGTATCTGCAGATAGGATGGCAATAGCAAGAGAATTAGAATGAGAAGTGGAGCCTGAAGAAGTGACTGAATTGCCACAATCTCATGATACAATTTTAATGGTTGAGGACTTGCTTCTTATGGATGAGGAAAATAAAATGGTTTTTAAAGATGAAATCTACTCCCAGTGAAAATTCTGAGAAAAATTGTTGAAATAACAACAAAGGATTTAGAATGTTACCTAAATTTAATAAAGCTATGGCAGGGTTTGAGAGAATTGACTGATTGACTCTGATTTTCAAAGTAGTTCTCTGGTTAAAATGCTATCAAACAGCATTATATGTAGGGCACTTGAGTGGCTCAGTGGGTTAAGCATCTGACTCTGGATTTCGGCTCAGGTCATGATCTTACAGTGGTGGAATTGACGCCTGCATCAGGCTCTGTACACAGTGGGGAGTCTGCTGGGGATTCTGTCTCTCCTCCACCTGCTCTTCT